TAGCTGGGTCAGCAGATACCTCAGCACATTCATAGAACCAGTGAAGTGTACTGACTGCTGTTGTATCACCTACCTCTAGTGTGACCATCTTGTTGTCCAGTGTAATGTCCACAGCCTGGAACGCCCTCAGCTTCTTGTCCTCTAGAGCCTCTACTGTGCCAGTAAGCTGGGTCAGCAGATACCTCAGCACATTCATAGAACCAGTGAAGTGTACTGACTGTTGTTGTATCACCTACCTCTAGTGTGACCATCTTGTTGTCCAGTGTAATGTCCACAGCCTGGAACGCCCTCAGCTTCTTGTCCTCTAGAGCCTCTACTGTGCCAGTTAGCTGGGTCAGCAGATACCTCAGCACATTCATGGAACCAGTGAAGTGTACAGACTGTTGTTGTATCACCTACCTCTAGTGTGACCATCTTGTTGCCCAGTGTAATGTCCACAGCCTGGAACGCCCTCAGCTTCTTGTCCTCTAGAGCCTCTACTGTGCCAGTTAGCTGGGTAAGCAGATACCTTAGCACATTCATGGAACCAGTGAAGTGTACTGACTGCTGTTGTATCACCTACCCCTCTGACCATCACACCTCTAGTGTGACCATCTTGTTGTCCAGTGTAATGTCCACAGCCTGGAACGCCCTCAGCTTCTTGTCCTCTAGAGCCTCTACTGTGCCAGTTAGCTGGGTAAGCAGATACCTTAGCACATTCATGGAACCAGTGAAGTGTACTGACTGCTGTTGTATCACCTACCCCTCTGACCATCACACCTCTAGTGTGACCATCTTGTTGTCCAGTGTAATGTCCACAGCCTGGAACGCCCTCAGCTTCTTGTCCTCTAGAGCCTCTACTGTGCCAGTTAGCTGGGTAAGCAGATACCTCAGCACATTCATAGAACCAGTGAAGTGTACTGACTGTTGTTGTATCACCTACCTCTAGTGTGACCATCTTGTTGTCCAGTGTAATGTCCACAGCCTGGAACGCCCTCAGCTTCTTGTCCTCTAGAGCCTCTACTGTGCCAGTTAGCTGGGTCAGCAGATACCTCAGCACATTCATAGAACCAGTGAAGTGTACAGACTGTTGTTGTATCACCTACCTCTAGTGTGACCATCTTGTTGTCCAGTGTAATGTCCACAGCCTGGAACGCCCTCAGCTTCTTGTCCTCTAGAGCCTCTACTGTGCCAGTTAGCTGGGTCAGCAGATACCTCAGCACATTCATAGAACCAGTGAAGTGTACAGACTGTTGTTGTATCACCTACCTCTAGTGTGACCATCTTGTTGTCCAGTGTAATGTCCACAGCCTGGAACGCCCTCAGCTTCTTGTCCTCTAGAGCCTCTACTGTGCCAGTCAGCTGGGTCAGCAGATACCTCAGCACATTCATGGAACCAGTGAAGTGTACAGACTGTTGTTGTATCACCTACCTCTAATGTGACCATCTTGTTGTCCACTGTAATGTCCACAGCCTGGAACGCCCTCAGCTTCTTGTCCTCTAGAGCCTCTACTGTGCCAGTTAGCTTGGTCAGCAGATACCTCAGCACATTTATGGAACCAGTGAAGTGTACAGACTGCTGTTGTATCACCTACCTCTAGTGTGACCATCTTGTTGTCCAGTGTAATGTCCACAGCCTGGAACGCCCTCAGCTTCTTGTCCTCTAGAGCCTCTACTGTGCCAGTTAGCTGGGTCAGCAGATACCTCAGCACATTTATGGAACCAGTGAAGTGTACAGACTGCTGTTGTATCACCTACCTCTAGTGTGACCATCTTGTTGTCCAGTGTAATGTCCACAGTCTGGAACGCCCTCAGCTTCTTGTCCTCTAGAGCCTCTACTGTGCCAGTTAGCTGGGTCAGCAAATACCTCAGCACATTCATGGAACCAGTGAAGTGTACAGACTGCTGTTGTATCACCTACCTCTAGTGTGACCATCTTGTTGTCCAGTGTAATGTCCACAGCCTGGAACGCCCTCAGCTTCTTGTCCTCTAGAGCCTCTACTGTGCCAGTTAGCTGGGTCAGCAGATACCTCAGCACATTCATGGAACCAGAGAAGTGTACTGATTGTTGTTGTATCACCTACCTCTAGTGTGACCATCTTGTTGTCCAGTGTAATGTCCACAGTCTGGAACGCCCTCAGCTTCTTGTCCTCTAGAGCCTCTACTGTGCTAGTTAGCTGGGTCAGCAGATACCTCAACACATTCATGGAACCAGTGAAGTGTACTGATTGTTGTTGTATCACCTACCTCTAGTGTGACCATCTTGTTGTCCAGTGTAATGTCTACAGCCTGGAACGCCCTCAGCTTCTTGTCCTCTAGAGCCTCTACTGTGCCAGTTAGCTGGGTCAGCAGATACCTCAGCACATTCATGGAACCAGAGAAGTGTACTGATTGTTGTTGTATCACCTACCTCTAGTGTGACCATCTTGTTGTCCAGTGTAATGTCCACAGTCTGGAACGCCCTCAGCTTCTTGTCCTCTAGAGCCTCTACTGTGCTAGTTAGCTGGGTCAGCAGATACCTCAACACATTCATGGAACCAGTGAAGTGTACTGATTGTTGTTGTATCACCTACCTCTAGTGTGACCATCTTGTTGTCCAGTGTAATGTCCACAGTCTGGAACGCCCTCAGCTTCTTGTCCTCTAGAGCCTCTACTGTGCTAGTTAGCTGGGTCAGCAGATACCTCAGCACATTCATGGAACCAGTGAAGTGTACAGACTGCTGTTGTATCACCTACCTCTAGTGTGACCATCTTGTTGTCCAGTGTAATGTCCACAGTCTGGAACGCCCTCAGCTTCTTGTCCTCTAGAGCCTCTACTGTGCCAGTTAGCTGGGTCAGCAGATACCTCAGCACATTCATGGAACCAGTGAAGTGTAAAGACTGCTGTTGTATCACCTACCTCTAGTGTGACCATCTTGTTGTCCAGTGTAATGTCCACAGTCTGGAACGCCCTCAGCTTCTTGTCCTCTAGAGCCTCTACTGTGCTAGTTAGCTGGGTCAGCAGATACCTCAGCACATTCATGGAACCCCAGTGAAGTGTACTGACTGCTGTTGTATCACCTACCTCTAGTGTGACCATCTTGTTGTCCAGTGTAATGTCCACACCCTGGAACGCCCTCAGCTTCTTGTCCTCTAGAGCCTCTACTGTGCCAGTTAGCTGGGTCAGCAGATACCTCAGCACATTCATGGAACCCCAGTGAAGTGTACTGACTGCTGTTGTATCACCTACCTCTAGTGTGACCATCTTGTTGTCCAGTGTAATGTCCACAGCCTGGAACGCCCTCAGCTTCTTGTCTTCTAAAGCCTCTACTGTGCCAGTTAGCTGGGTCAGCAGATACCTCAGCACATTTATGGAACCAGTGAAGTGTACAGACTGCTGTTGTATCACCTACCTCTAGTGTGACCATCTTGTTGTCCAGTGTAATGTCCACAGCCTGGAACGCCCTCAGCTTCTTGTCCTCTAGAGCCTCCACTGTGCCAGTTAGCTGGGTCAGCAGATACCTCAGCACATTTATGGAACCAGTGAAGTGTACAGACTGCTGTTGTATCACCTACCTCTAGTGTGACCATCTTGTTGTCCAGTGTAATGTCCACAGCCTGGAACGCCCTCAGCTTCTTGTCCTCTAGAGCCTCTACTGTGCCAGTTAGCTGGGTCAGCAAATACCTCAGCACATTCATGGAACCAGTGAAGTGTACTGATTGTTGTTGTATCACCTACCTCTAGTGTGACCATCTTGTTGTCCAGTGTAATGTCTACAGCCTGGAACGCCCTCAGCTTCTTGTCCTCTAGAGCCTCTACTGTGCCAGTTAGCTGGGTCAGCAGATACCTCAGCACATTCATGGAACCAGAGAAGTGTACTGATTGTTGTTGTATCACCTACCTCTAGTGTGACCATCTTGTTGTCCAGTGTAATGTCCACAGTCTGGAACGCCCTCAGCTTCTTGTCCTCTAGAGCCTCTACTGTGCCAGTCAGCTGGGTCAGCAGATACCTCAACACATTCATGGAACCAGTGAAGTGTACTGATTGTTGTTGTATCACCTACCTCTAGTGTGACCATCTTGTTGTCCAGTGTAATGTCCACAGTCTGGAACGCCCTCAGCTTCTTGTCCTCTAGAGCCTCTACTGTGCTAGTTAGCTGGGTCAGCAGATACCTCAGCACATTCATGGAACCAGTGAAGTGTACAGACTGCTGTTGTATCACCTACCATCTTGTGTGACCATCTTGTTGTCCAGTGTAATGTCCACAGTCTGGAACGCCCTCAGCTTCTTGTCCTCTAGAGCCTCTACTGTGCCAGTTAGCTGGGTCAGCAGATACCTCAGCACATTTATGGAACCAGTGAAGTGTACAGACTGCTGTTGTATCACCTACCTCTAGTGTGACCATCTTGTTATCCAGTGTAATGTCCACAGGCTGGAACGCCCTCAGCTTCTTGTCCTCTAGAGCCTCTACTGTGCCAGTTAGCTGGGTCAGCAGATACCTCAGCACATTCATGGGACCAGTGAAGTGTACTGACTGCTGTTGTATCACCTACCTCTAGTGTGACCATCTTGTTGTCCAGTGTAATGTCCACAGCCTGGAACGCCCTCAGCTTCTTGTCCTCTAGAGCCTCTACTGTGCCAGTTAGCTGGGTCAGCAGATACCTCAGCACATTCATGGAACCAGTGAAGTGTACAGACTGCTGTTGTATCACCTACCTCTAGTGTGACCATCTTGTTGTCCAGTGTAATGTCCACAGTCTGGAACGCCCTCAGCTTCTTGTCCTCTAGAGCCTCTACTGTGCCAGTTAGCTGGGTCAGCAGATACCTCAGCACATTCATGGGACCAGTGAAGTGTACTGACTGCTGTTGTATCACCTACCTCTAGTGTGACCATCTTGTTGTCCAGTGTAATTTCCACAGTCTGGAACGCCCTCAGCTTCTTGTCCTCTAGAGCCTCTACTGTGCCATTTAGCTGGGTCAGCAGATACCTCAGCACATTCATAGAACCAGTGAAGTGTACTGACTGATGTTGTCACCTACCTCTAGTGTGACCATCTTGTTATCCAGTGTAATGTCCACAGCCTGGAACGCCCTCAGCTTCTTGTCCTCTAAAGCCTCTACTGTGCCAGTTAACTGGGTCAGCAGATACCTCAGCACATTCATAGAACCAGTGAAGTGTACAGACTGCTGTTGTATCACTGTGCTCACACTCATGTCTGTGTACTCTACAAAGTATAATTTTACATTTAAAATTTTATAGTTTATTTTAGGAAACCTGCAGCAGATTTGTTTAGTTTGGATTAGGTCAGAATGGGTGAAAGATTTTAATCCTTTGATACCAAAATCTTTTTGCTTTGAAAACTGTAATATTACAATCACCCTAAGGTACGCAATATTTTTCATGGTGTCCGCTATATCATGGTGAAATCATTAAAATCTTCCACATTCACAGCAAAACCAAGAAAACTATGTATAGTCATGGCAAAAACAAAATTAACTTTCTCGATTACTGCAAAACTTTGATGATCTTATTCATGATGATGCATGGTGGACTCAAAAAAGTCTCCTCCAGTTAAGGTGAAATCGAGAACATTTTACTGGCAACGTTGAGATCATGAGTGTCCTCCACGAGCACAGCAAAATCGAGAACAGTAACCGCAGTTATGACTAAACAGAAATATTTTCTTCCATCAGAATCAGAGGAATAATTAAGTTTGTTGTAAAAAGCATTTAGCTTGGATTAAACAATTAAAATTAAAACTCAGCTCGGTTTCAACAGGCTTGAAACAACCTCTAGGGCTAACTTGGTTGACCTGAATTGACCTAAAAGTGCAGTGACCCAACTACTGGTGTCAAATTTAGTTAAACAAAATTTCAAGTTATCTAACCGTCTAATAGCATCAATGGTGCATCAGTTGGTTTGAAGACTTAACATTATATTAATTTACAGGAAAAGTTGACAGAGTTAGTTTTTTATTCTCTCAGCTTACTGTAGTATGATTGTCGTAATTTTATACCTCTCATCGTGTGGGTCAAGCCTACAGCTAATGTTACACAGTAAATCTGCTCGTAAACAAATAGACATAGACAAAAGATCAACTCACTGGTAAGATCCTGAGGAGCCAACATATGATAGTTGAAGTTCCTCTTGACCAGAATACCAGAGATCTTGTGGCCAGGCTTGGGCGCCTCTACGGCCAAACTCCCCATCACCTGCAAATATAAAACACTTTTGAAATGAGGATAAATCAAGGTAGACCTACTTATAGACATGTGTATAAACACTAGTTGGACCAAAATTGCAAAGCCCAACAAAAATAAAATTACAAGTTATTGTCAAAAACAAAAAATTAAAAAATAATTTTACATCTTGAATTTAAACTAAAAAAAAAATCAATCTTAAATCTTTAAAATTTTTAGTGGACTTTTACTTTATAAGTTTGTTCAACAATTCAACAATTCTACAGTTGTTTGCTGTTGAGAGGTTAAAGAAAAGAATAGGCCTACCTTTTTTTCTTGCTCAAACCTACCTCAGTTGAAAATTCTGTTGAATACATTTAAATATTTTGCATGTATAGTGTAAACGTAATTTTGGTTTCTAGTGCCAGAAAACCACTTTCCTACAGCTCCACTTTCTAAAAGCTTGTTTTCTCACAATATTCGCCCTTAAATCCTATCTACTTAAGCCCTACATTTCCTAGCCTTGAGGCCTTGTAGATACATTTCTTTACCTTGGCCGTCTTCTCACCACGGAAGTACAACTCCACGGCCACCGTGTTTCGAGGGTTGTGAATCTCCATTGTAGTGTTGGGATCATCCTCATACTCTCGTATCAAGGCTGCCTTCAGTCTGCTCATCTCGTTCTGTTCTCCATGAACCAGAACCTGCACCAGAGAAAGTTATTTATGAGTGTGGATCTAGCAGTAAATTTTCAGTAAATAGTTTTAGTTTAAGAATCAAATTTCAATTTCAAAGTTCTCAGGTTTGCGTGACAGGGGTATTGATTGTTGTATTTAATATTTCTTGTTTAGATCATTCATTTGTACACAAGTAATGAAAAAAAATCAAAGTCATTAATACAATTTTGACATCATTTCATTAGAATTTTAAAACTTTTTTGTTTATAAACTAGTTTTGAGTTATTTCAAAAAGAAAAATAGATATATATATGTAATGAAGAGGGAAAATTCTCTACCCAATTTTTAAAACACTATAGCATTACATGTTTTAAGGTAGGTTTGAGCCAACTTATGGAATTTCCAAATTATTTTAAGGACTATAAAATTTAAATTGCTTCAGAACAGTATATTGTATGTGCTGTGAAAAACTATCAACTTTGTTGTCATGATAATTTTCAAAATTGAGTTATTCAAATTAGTTGAGTATACTGGTAGTAAAATGTAATATTTGTTCACTTTTTCAAGAAATGTAAGTTACAAGTTTGTTGTATAAAAGTGCACACCACATGAGGAGGTTTGAGGATTTTGATGAACTCGTTGGTCTGCTGAAAGTCCGTGTGGGCAGAGAAGGATATGTAGTCCACAGACATCTTGAGAGCCAACTTCTGTCCTGTCATAGTGACAATGTCCTCTGGTTCTGACAAGATGGTCTTGGCCAAAGTACCTTCCACACAGTAACCTGCAAACAACATGTATCAGTGTGGCGTAGCCTCTGGATAAGGTTTGAATAGAAAGGGCTTATTGCCTGAGAATTAATGAGACAATGGATAGGATAGCAGGCTGACCTTTAGAAATGTAAAATACACACAGTAATACCGAAGAAAATACAAAAGAAACACTGGATATTTCGAGGCCACTGGCCTCTTTCTCAACATTGAGACTCTAAGTCAGTGTAACCACGATGAAAGCTAGTTGGACAAATTAAACTTAAGCTGCTGTGTCACATTCTGATCAACCACTACTGAGAACCACATTGAGATTATTGAAATGGAATCTGAATGGCTTAACGACAGCATATCTTATCGAACCCAAAAACGGCTTGAAGGAAATGCGAAGAAAGTACAACTGAAAACCTGGACAGCTGACATATAAAAGAAAGGGGAAAAAACAGGTAAACAAAGAAGATGGTTCAGTTCCAGGGAATTTTTGCTGCGGCTTTGTGTCTCATTTCATCAGGAATAAATGTACAAACAAAGCCAAACTCAAGTGCTACTGAGTACTGTACAAAGTGTAGTGGTACCTGCAATGATGACTCCATTCTTGCTGTCCGTACACCAAGACTCAAACAACTCTCTGGACAAGCCACTCTGCATCATACCAGGCGAGGCCATCACTACACAGGGGCCGATGTCTTCAAAGTGATCAATGCCCTGCAAAACAACATAACTGAACGTAACTGCCTAGGAAGAACTTATAGATAGACTTGAGCTTCTTTGCTGATACAGTTAGGCCCTAATACCTCAGCAGTTCAGGTTCTTTAGTGAAATGTTCAAGAATTGTTACATAGGCCTACGTTTCATAGAACACTACGACTTATTAACCCTGCTAGGTACCTAGGAGACGAAATAGGTTTACAGAACTTTGTACTTTCATTTGCTACACAGTACATTGATTGCATTTACCATTTGGCCCTAGTATTACTTGTGGACATTAATAACGGGAAACACGAGTCACATATAACAGCTGGAGTGCTAATCTGTCAGTCAGCACTAATATCATGAGTGTTTGAAGAAAATAAATAGTATTGCAGGCTTACCTGAATAACAGAGTCCATTCTATCACAAGAAACACACTTCTTGGCCATCTTGGGTTTTAAGACATATCTTCCCAACTCAAACCGTCCTTGGTTGAAAATACTGTTGACCGTGAAATTTTTAATCGTTTGTGTATAGCATGAAGTTTGTGTTTTTCTTCCAGAGTGGACCTCTCCCTGATTTAAGCAAGCCTGCTATCTCTGAAATTATAGTTCTCATCCTAGACTGATAATGTGTACCTAATATATTTTATTCAACCAGAACACCGTTCAATTTTACACTGATTAACTAAGCGTACCTTAAGATTTGATATATGTTTGAAGACAAAAGGATTGTTGATGGCAATCTGTCGGCGGATTTTTTCATTCATTGCATTCACATAAGTCTGGTACACGGCCATGCACTTTTTAGCGAGAGAAGAAGCGTAATACACAGGAATCTCGTGCAGTTCAGGGTGCTGGCTCCAGTACTCATCTGTCAACAGAAGATTAGAAATATCAATTGAAAGAATTCAGTAAATAACACCTCATTATCTGTAACATTTATGAGTGTTTCAAATGAAGTGCTGGCTAAATTTGCAAATGCAGAGAAGTATTCAACATACTGTAATAATTGTAAAGCTGCATTTTATAGCCCCTGTACTGATTGTTACAGACGGCAAAACAGGCTACCTCATTTCTATTTGTGTAGTAGGTACCGGTAATCTTCATCAACAAATCACTGCTGATTAAGTACTTGGTTCAGTATGTACTTTAGAAAAGGAAATACTTTTAAACTCACCAAGGATCAGCAGAAGTTCCTGAGCTCTACCGAGTGCAAAGACTGGTATTAGGACTCGTCCTCCTCGGTTGACTATCTCATGGACCAGCGTAGTGAACCTACTCTCTCTCTCTTCCCGCTTTTCATGGATGTGGGTCCCGTAGGTTGATTCCTGTACAAATATTTAAAGACCACAATCAGCCAACATCATACACAAACAACTATGAACAGAAATAGATAAAATACTGTTTTTAGGCCCTAATGCTTTATTTTAAGTATTTTAACTGAAACTGTAACCTGTTGAATTTAGTGGTAACTCACAAAAATTTTAATAACAAACAATAGAGCATGTAGGTTGTTAAGTTTTACAGACAAATTAGTCATATTATCTGAAGTATACCAGTTTTTTTCAGTTTTTGGATAACTTGAATAATTACAACCTGAATATTGGGGTTAACTCAAATACAACATTTTAAATTTGAATTAGTAATGGCGTTGAATCTGGCTTCACACATACACATTCATTACTTTTGGTTACCTATTTTAATCATTTTAGAACGTAAAATTACTTCATGGAAAACATTTATTTGAGTACATTTAATTAGCTGAATACATGTTGAATGTAGTTGAGTAGCTAATAGTTTACTTAGCTTATGCCTTATTTCTAGCCTCCAGTTAAGGTAGGCTATTTTTTTAAGTTATAAAATACAAGGTGTTACTCCACTCAACCAAAAAAGCCAGTTCTTTTTTCAATTGTTGAATAAGGAGGATAGCAAATAGCTTACCTTGAAGAAGTGTAGGTAGGCCATAGAACATATACAGGGTGTCCCGGAACTCTCTACCAATATTATAGGGCATTGATCCTGGGTAAGAAACATAACTAAATATCATATTTAAACTGTCCGGAAGTCCTTAGTTACTCACACAGCCGCCATTTTGTTTTTTTAAGTAATTAATTTTTTTCTAAAGAATGGTTAAACATACGAAATGGAAACTTTGCACAAGCATTTGTGAAAACTAGACAAAGCTACAAAAAAATTATCACGATTTTTCAAATTCATAAAACAAAATGGTGGTCATTTAAATTTTTTGTAAAATCAATGGTTTTTTAGTTATTTAAGAAAGAAAATTTTAAATGGCCGCCATTATGTTTTATGAATTTGAAAAATCTTCATAATTTTTTTGTAGCTTTGTCTAGTTGTCATAAATGCTTGTGCAAAGTTTCCATTTCGTATGTTTAACCATTCTTTAGAAAAAAATTAATAACTTAAAAAAACAAAATGGCGGCTGTGTGAGTAACTAAGGACTTCCGGACAATTTAAATATGATATTTAGGTACGTTTCTTACCCAGGATCAATGTCCTAAAATATTGGTAGAGAGTTCCGGGACACCCTGTAGAAGAGACACTAAATGCAATATTTCATGCCCTGAGGGACTTTGCCAATAATTGTAGGGAAAGTCCTGTATCACTTTCTCTACCCACAACAAAATCCCCCAGGGGACGAAATAATGTGTACCGGTATCAGTGTCTCTTCTATATGTTCTACACTTCCTTTAAGGTAAGCTAGCTGCTATCCTCCTTATTCTACAATTGAAAATTCTGGCCTAGAGTCTTTCCTTACATAAAACCCGTAAGTTATTCTTTTGGTTAAAGTTCTAAAAGTCAACCTTATAACCAAAATTTGTTTAAGATATTAGGCCTAATAATTATATTTTTTACCGTGATTAAAACGTCAGGATGAACACTTGGAATTTCAGCAGCCATCAAATGTCTGTCTTCTTGTCTGGAAAAATCTCCAGTATACAGGACCTGTTGGATTAAATAAGGTTTACAAAGTCACAAGGTTGAATCATAGTATCTGTGGCACAAACATACGGGGTGTATCATAACATTATATTTTCAAACACGGCAAAAGTAGCCTACATACAACTGATATGAAACATGCAGAAAACCATAATCATCTTATCATTATATCTATGTCAAGGCAAGATCATTCCTTATAAACAACCACTGAAAAGCAAAAGGCTGAGACCCCAAACATAAAAAAAATATTACAAGATAATTGAAAGGCGTAACATATGACTTAACTGATGTATTTTATGACAAAAAAAGCTTTGTTTTCGATATTTAGAAAGAAAATAGGAAAATGTTCAAATAACTTTGACCCCCAAGTTATAAGGATTTAACACCCAAAGGCTTAATGCAACCATAATATTACAATCAATACAAACACTGACTGGATATAAGTCTACAAAAAAATATGATGCATTTCCTACAAATAACATCAATGATACACTCCATACTATTGGTTATTTTTGCGATTAAGTAACTCACCTTGACCCCGGCAATCTCAATCATAAACATGGCCGCGCCTAGCACGTGCCCTGCGTTGTACGCCCAGAACTTGACTCCACCCACTTCTTTCTCCTCGTGGAAGTTGATAGTTTCTATTTTGTCCATGCTGTTCTCTAAGTCTGTCTCAGTGTATAGCATTTGGTCAGTGGCTATATTGCTGGAACGATCATTTTCATAAGATCACATAAAAATGGAACAACAACATTACCTAGACTTCTTGTTTGGATCAGTTTGGGTTGGTAGCGTTTAAGTGGGCTTTTGTCATTTGACTTCTATGAGTCTACATGCGCGATTTGTTCTTAGCTAAGCAAACAAACAAGTCATAACCTGTCGACCACTGTTTAGTACATATACATGTTAGCTGTAGGCTATTCATTGTGTTTTGTAGTAAACAAAGTATTATAGCTTATATACAGGGTGTCCCACAAAGGGGTTTAAAAACGTTTGATTTAATATTACTTGCCCATTTATGCATAGAATATTTAAAAACTTTACACAGTTTATAAAGTAGATTTAAAAAATATTCTGGGAAAATGTCAGCTCCCTAACCCTCATAGAAACAAAATGGTGGCATATTGTATGCTTTTTTACTAACTAATAATATTAAAGTATTAAATTATTTATTATTTATTAACTAGTCATGGATCACATTTTAAATAATTTTGAACTCTACTTTTAGGGTTTTCATTAGGCTATGTTCTAATTTCCAGTTGGAAGAAGCCTGATTTCCCTAGGATGTGATGATACAAATATTTTGATGGTAAAACACTTGTTATCTAAATAATATCTTCATATACCGGTAATTTTTTTTTAATAAGGAAAGAAAATATAATTGATTAATAGTTGTTAAACTTTATTATAAACTGTGTTTACAGAAACTGTTTCAAGATCAAACAATCATACGCATGATTTAATTAATCATAAGCCATGTGATTGTAAATAGACAGTGAGCAAGTTCGTTACTTTTAATAATTTTGTGAAAAAAACCTTTTGAATTTTTAGGAGATTAAAACCGAAAACAAGGAAGTAGCCTAACTGAAAGAGATAACTTAAGTGTAAATTTTTGAAGTACTTGGGAGTCTAACCAATGTATTTGATTATAGCTTGGGGCTTCGATCCCCTACGTCCTGGGTTTAAGTCTCTACAACCAATAGCTTACACATGTGAAAATTCTAGCATCTAAGGACTTTGGTGCGTACTTTCCAGGAATAAACTGTTTAGTTGTGTTTAACATTACAAATAATCAATATCCGATGGTAATTAGTAATTTTCTACACTTGCATTTACCTTACTTTGATGTAATCCGAGAGAAGCCACCTGTAGATAGCTTTAGTCGCGTGAGTCATAAAACATCTGCCTTTGAAGCTTGTCTTCATCAGAAACCAAGGCAACGCTCCACAGTGGTCCAGATGGAAACTGCAAAATAATTTGGAGAAAAATAGCTGATTCAAACAAAATAATAATTTTCATAGCTATCAAGATTTGTAGACCTATTTAATTCTCCTGATTTTCCATTCTTCATTCAACAAATAAAAGGCAATAAATAGGACTACAAACCCTTTAAGAAGTGGAATGCTTACGGAGAATAGTCAGACAAGAATTTTGCCGATCTCTCGCGCGGCGGCCTCGTTACTCTATCTCTTTCTCTTTCTAAACAGATTCTTTGTCTCACTCTCTCTCAGTCAGTCAGCTGACTTGGCCGCGCGCTGCGATAGTCTACCTAGCGGCCGCAGCGGAAACCATAAAAAATTTAAATATTTCCAGACTGAATTTTTTACATAGGCAAATTACACTTCTTTGGGTTTGTATTCATTGTAAAAGGTTGTTGATTGCAGACATACAATAAAATCCTGAACCAAATTTGAATTTGGAATTTCAATAATTGATTAATAGTTGTTAAACTTTATTATAAACTGTGTTTACAGAAACTGTTTCAAGAAATGTCAACATTTACTTAGGGTAATTTACTGAGAAGACGCAGAGAACAGTGCTGTTCTGTGGCCAGTAGGCTTTAATAATTTATCATGTTAAGTGTTGTACAAATCTTTTATACTATAATAACAGATTACTGAGAAAGCAGATATATGTAGGATACATAACTAAGCTTTTAAGTAGGTACCATACCACCAACAACTGCCTGAAATAATTTTTAGGTGAGAGGTGTTTAAGTATCCCTTTTCATATCTATTATCATCTATTATTATCTATTATCATATCTAGGTAGGCTCTTAATAGTAGGCTATTTATTAATTCAGAGGTAAAATTTTTCCTGCAAAAATCTATGATCTAATATAAACGTAAGTACTCACTGAGATATCAATAATAGATCTATTTCGTTTGCTTCAATCAAGTCCACAAATGGCAGAGCATCCATTCCTGAGAGGCCAGGGTGAATGCCGCAATCCAACTAAAAACACAAAATATTTCTATGGGACTTCATATAATTTATGCCTCACTTGAAGAACATAATATGTGGTCTACTTACAGGTTAGTGGCTTAATAGTTGTATGCAAAACTTAGTTTTTTTCATCAGGATTTGAAAATTTGATTTACAAACTATTTAAGCTTACAATGACAAAAGTGCCTGAGTAAAATAGTAGTACCGGTAGAGGGTATTCAGTAGCCTATAGTTGCCTCCAAACAAATTTGAATTTTTATATCTTACTTTACAGATTTTACCTCCTGAATCCAAATATACCTACCATTATTTTTATACAGCAAATTAATATTTACAGAAGATATCGCTGTTTGGGTACAACTTTTGAATAAAATATCAACAACCATTCAAAAGTAGCCTACCTGACAACTTGCACATTAACATTAAAAATCTAAATTAGGCCTAAAATCCATGTTTTAGCCTGAGCTGTATAATAACTAAAATAGGCTTTACCTTCGTCACTGCAGCTCAAATTCTTGTGGTGTAACTACGTTACGGCCGTTTCGGCATTACAATGCCATCGTCAGACTACAAAAACACAAACTCGGCTGAAGTAGCGTCGTTGAAGATTAAACACGTAACACATACGAACATTAAGATACATTTAAAATATTTACAAAAACCGAACAGGCCTGTCATACTAACGGGTGAATAATCTAAATGTAGGTGTTAATATATTTCTGTCTTGCAAATTTAACCTAGACCTAAATTAAATGAAGTAAGTTAGGCCAAAAGTAGAAATAACCGCAAGATCAAACAATACAAGTGGTTTTACTTTGATTGGGGACGCAAGGAATGCGGCCAGGGGCGTAATCAGTCCCTCAGGTCCATAGTGCATCACATGTAAACCACGTTACAGTTATGCCTGGAAATAACTGTAGCTATGATTTAACTTTTTTAGTCAAATACTGACTAAAAAACTTACTAAGGGGATTTAGCCTGTATTATTAGGCTATAATAAACTCACCATGATTTTCTTTCCCTTGAATTCCAGCATAATGCATGACCTTCCGACTTCCTGGCCTGCACCTCTGAAAAATATCATAATAGGCTATCATATTTGTTTTACTTAGGCTAGCCCTACTTCCTAAACTTACTTACTTATTATATAAGTTAGAATACTTAGACCAAAGTTAACTCTTAGAAGTCGCTGAGGTAATTAACTTAAAGCTATATCAACCTCCAGTCAAGGCTCTAAAAATTTATTTTTTATATATGTTTTTAGCGCTGATTCCAAAAATGATGTCGTTTTAGCGGAAAAGCACGTGGGGGTGCAGATTCCAAAAGCCTATCTTGTTTTAAACCATTTAAGTTAAATGAAAGTTAGGCTAGCCTACCGGTTAACATTGCCTATGCGCTTAACATTGCAACAGCACATGTTCATAGTTTTACTTTTTGACACAGAACCACTCTTAGGATAAAACTGAACAATAACCAAAATTTTGCCACTCACATAATAGTACTAAGGATAAAAGAATAATAAACTCACAGTGGTCTTATTGATAACAAATCACTCTCTTCTGCCGGCACTTGGGAATCGGGCTTCCTTTTAGTGCCCATGATCTTAAATTGTTTCTAGATACAGTATTTTGTGATCTTGGATATAAAAACTGATAGGATGAAATATGAATTACAATCCAACATTAAACTAGGAGTTGATGAAAATAACAAGATTATAATTTGTTAGTTTATATAATACTACAGATAACCACAATCCACCTGACAGTCCGAGTCCATTTTATTTATTTTCATTTTGGTTCTTCTGCTTCTCACTTCAGCTTCCTTTCTCTCTTCCTAGTTCCTACTTTTAGCAGGCTCATGTTAGTGTCGTGTACCTGCTATTACCTCCCTCGCCATTTTCAAAAAGAAAACTGTTGATGGAGGTTTGGCATGGATAAAAAATCCTTTTCCAAAATTAAGCTTGAAAAATAATACTTTAAATAACATAAAAAAAATTTAACTAACATACTCAATTTATTATCTTTATAAATCAATAAACTATGCTTAACACTTGACACTTGTAAATATTACAAGGTGGTTTCTTGTATAGGCGCACTCAAATCACGCACCATAAAATGGAGGTCGACACATACACATGGGGGGAGATAGTCATCAGGGCACCCCTAACTGTGCGCATCTACCCTTCTGAGAAATCTCATAGTTGTTAAACAAAAGAGCGCCAAATAAAGTAATAGCTAACTTGTAATAATACCCCGATACCTTTACAAAGTAGTTATTTTTTTATTCTATGCACTTTACATAACGATAAGCTATCAAATCTATTTGCTCTTTATTGAATTGGTCCGTCTTTTTTAAAGGAAGTCCCTTCTAATTGGTCTTCCTCCTGTTCTTTGAGACTTATGTTGTGTTGAGCCCCAAATACGGGTCTGACTGAATCTAATTCACATTTTTCAAAAATGAAAAAACCATACATAGGGAACTATTACATAGGGAACCATAGGGTGCTAATTGCTACATACTGGGAGTGCAAACTCGCATGCAGTGGTGCTGGTTCTCCTCTCCTCGAGGACCTCAAGTCAGCTTTGCGAGCATCCCAGTAGTGACTTGTTTATTGGTTTAAATGACAGTCAATCAACAACACAGTCAGGCAACCCAGAAACTGGAGTGCCAACCATATTTTTTGTCCTAAAATACATAGGCGAGTGAAAATTTAAAAACGTACGTTTTCAGGAAAAGCACTTTGCAAATTAATTTGTTTCACCTTTTTTCAAAACTTTTATTATTTTTTTTTATTTCCTTAACATTTGAAGTTTCATAAAATGTCCATGGTAACGCAATATCTTTGGTAGTTTTTTTTTAAAAGAGCATCTTTATTGGAAAAACACAAAATCCTGTCACGACCATAACAGACGTTTAAATGAATATTAAAAATAGTTAATATTATTTTTATAACTATGTTTTGCTATAAAATAATTTACTTTTATGACCATTATACAATAAAAAGGTCACTGAGCTTTTGGTATATTTCGTCTTTCTAGAAAAAAATAAAAAAAACTCAAAAAATTGAAAAAAAGCCAATAAAATCTTTTTAAGTTTGTATAACTCCGAAAAAACTTACCTGAGACCCGAAAAATCGTTATGTTTGTATAGAGGTCTGCTTCTTTTGTGTATAAAACATTGAAATATGACGATATTATAGTTTTTGAAATTTTTATGATAGAAATCGTAAACGTGATGGTCAGGGACAAGCGGTACGGTCGTGAATTTTCTGAAATTATCTAAGTAAACCTTTCTAAGCAATCCTTCAATTATACTGTTAGTTATAATAAAAATATGTGTTTCAATTGAACTAAACTGTTCAATTTATAATTATATTAAAGTTATTGTCACGACCAAACACACTATAATCCATAAGGCTGGATTGGTCGTGAAAAAACCCGCGATGGTCGTGAAACTTTGGTCCTGAAATTACGTGTTATTTGGCTCTGTTCTGGCGGTAGCCCTGCACCTCATGTTCGAGGATACAAAGTGGACTTCTAGGTTAATCTAGCAATTGAAATATCTTATAAACAAAAATTAACACCATGTCTACTTTATCGAATGACTACGTACGGTCATGGACACACCAAAATTACAAAAAACACAATCTTTCCTTTATTAATCTTGTAATTCCTCCTTTCAACTCGAAACGACCGGCACTACAATCCTGACGTACACCCCGAACTAGTCTCTAAAACCAACTGACTCCATCGACGCCAGGCTTGCCACTGTCGTGCTCCAAAGTTGAAAATTTTTCCCAAATGGTCGTGACGCCAAATCGAGGGACAGACTTATTTTGTCATGGTAGTCAGTTTGCAATGACAATAAAATTATAATATGCTCCTTTTTTGTAAGTTTAATAACCATTGATGACATAAAATATGGCTTTATATATTTCGGCATTAATAATTAGTCTAAAAACAGCGTGAAAGTTGGAAAATGTACCCTAGGGATACGTCATGGTCGTGAATTTAGAGACTTTAAAAATACGAAAAAAATACCTAGAACCTATTTAAAACCAAATAAATGTGTGTAACATGTTGCCCCCGTCTCAAAAAATATTAAAACACATAATAATAAACTACAAATCCAGTATCTACGAAGTAAAAGGCCAGGGACATGAAAACGTACGTTTTTAAATTTTCACTCAGGCACGAGCCCGGATTTTTTCACATATTAATTCAGAATGGACAAAATCCATTGTTGATTATGATGGAACCTCATGGACCATGTTCCAAACTTTACCACTAGACCAGCTCGCTCCCCCAGCTCAATTAGGCACAATTTAGGCACGCATACATTAATGTCATTTTCCCATCAAGAGAGAGCTCAGTCGTAGATATGTTTAATGATGAAACAATCTTGAAAATTGTCAAGATGATGATAAAAACCCAGCCCTTCCTCTGATAGGCCTTGTTCAGAAGTTACATTTGGCCTCCAAGTCTACAGACTGAATGAGTGTTGTCAAGATTTTAGAGGTGAAGAGTCTGTCATAGTTAACAATGGATCTCCTCAACTTGAAGAATCGTAATCACTGTTCGTGCCTCGATTATTGTAAAACAGATAGTGATGCGCCTTGTTACCGTAAGTGCTTTTAAATATCTCCTATGTACCTACAATACCTATCACAATATAATTTTTATAGTGGTAACTTAGTTAATTTTTATTGCTTAGAGAGTGGTACATAATTTAATAGTATATTTACTTCATTTATTGTTATTTGTATATATTTGTCACACTTTTTTTGTGTTTTGAAGCTTATGCTTATGTATTTTGGGATGGTTGAAAAATACTAGTCAAAATGTTTGAAAAGACTAATTAAAAATGTCTTAGCCCCAAAGTTTTTTTTTTCCAAAGTGGCCATGTCACAAAATTTCCAAATTTCACACAAATCGGTAAGCTTTTACACATTTTTATTAGCATCGATAAAATATAGGTAAATAAAATGTGTAAGCTTGACCAATATGAAAAAAATTGAATATTAAATCTAGGACATTAGTTCCTATATAATTTAAATTAAATACAGTAAAGATATAAACCATATAAACCACAATATCGCCTTTTCAGATTGTTTTATTATAATATTTAATTTGCGGCTTCAATAATACAACCATAGAAGAAACATATTCCCTTGTGGTTGGTTAGTTTATGATACAACATACTACATCCAAAACTTCTTTTGTAGGTACAGTATTGTAAATTTAGAGAACCGACAATCAATGTTTGACGGTATTGGCTTGACATGACTGTTATCTTACCACTTTTTCTCTGCTCACAGATGAAGTCACTGATTATAGCAGCAATGACCATCATCCTGGCTGGTCCAGGCCAGTCAGCTCGTATCCTAGCTCTGGTTCCGTTCCCAGCTCGAAGCCATTGGATCGTCATGGAGCCCCTGTTCCACGAACTAGTTGCCCGGGGCCACCAAATCACAGTCTTCAACAACTTCCCACAGAAGAAACCGTTGGCCAACTACACCGATGTGGACTTATCAAAACTGCTTCCCCCCATGATAAGCGAATTCTCCATAGAGATGATCCGAGAAAAGATGCCTAACCCGTTGGCGACGACACAGTTTATTCATGAGGTACACGACGGTTCTTGTGAAAAAGTTTTGAAGGAAGAAGCTACCCAGAATCTCCTAAGAGATAAAGATCAGTACGATATCCTCTTCACAGAAGTATTCGGATCAGACTGTTACGCTTATTTTGCTCACAAATTCAACATCCCTATCATATCGATCACGACTAGCGTAGCAATGCCTTGGGCCGCTGAGAGGTATGGTTTGCCAGACAACCCATCTTACATTCCCAATTACTTGGTCAACTTTACTCCTCAGATGAATATTTGGGAACGCATATACAACACTTATACACTTCTGTATGCCAAGTTCATGCATCAGTACATTTTTAGCGCTCGGACACAAGCTATGGTCGAAGGTATTCTCGGAGAACCTTTGCCTGACTTGCAAGAAGTGTTAATGAATCGTTCTACATTGTTGTTTCTGAATAGCTATCACGCACTTTCTCAGAGTCGACCTTTCCCACCAAACGTTATAGAAATTGGTGGAATCCACATCAAGAATGATGCCCAGCCACTTGCAGAGGTAAGAAATGCTTTTTGAACATGGTTTTCTCTATGTCTAATTATTTTAGAACTTCATTATTTAACTTAAGTTCAAACAGAGCTGAGTTCAGTACTGTAAATAAATATATGTAAGAATGTACATTTTAAATGTACTGTAGGGCAAAGAGTATATTCAACCTGCCAATTGATGTTTTGGATTTTATTATGTCCATTGTTACACAGTTAGTTATTTTTATCTGTACCTATAAAAGGTGACCCCACTATGGTAAAACGTTAAAAATGGAGTTTTCAAAACCGTTCATGTACCATTTTTAGGAATTCCAGACAATTTTGGACAGATCAACAAACGGTGTGGTTGTTATGAGCTTTGGATCACTTGTCCGATCAGCAAGTATTCCCAAACCCATCATTATGATGTTTATGAAGGCGTTTGCCAGATATGAACAGACATTCATATTCAAATTTGAAGAACCACTGCCAGAAGCACCTCCAAATGTCATCGTTAGAAAATGGCTCCCGCAAAGAGATATTATGGGTAGGTTTATTTTAAATTTCTTCTACGGATTTAACAATATTTCGTAAACTCAAGAAATATTCTGACTATCAAAACTTAAAGTAAATGACTTCTTTCAAATGCTATTGGATTCTGGACATTTTTTGTTTCCAATACCATTACCAATGTAGATCAGCTATTTTAATCATTCTCAACAATATGATATTGTATACAGTCTCAGCACATGGTACATCATCAATCAAAACAATCAACTCATAATACTATCTGTTTACTTTTAACGTTATCACCAGAGATAAATCTTGCTACTTCAGAAGGTACAAGATTGGGATTTATTGTGCACATATAGTTGACTTATGTCATCACAAAATAAGAATACCACTTAGGAAGTGGGTGGTTGAGATAAGGAATTGTTTTTTGTGGTTAAATCTTATCATTTCACACGGAAATGATTGAATAATATACTCACATACATCCTGACAAAATGCTAAGTTTAGATGGATTTAAATGTTATGTATAAGATCAGAGCTGCATTCAGGTTTTTGGCACTTGTATTTTTTCATTATATTCAGCTTCAAATGTTATTAAGCGGGATGCTTACATGACATCATGACTAAATACTTTCCTGCTTTTATGTTTCTTTCCAATTTAAACCATATTTTGACCACTAGTTTTACAGTAAATTTTAGAATCTTTTTGGCCATCTACATCTGGAACACGCTCAAACTTGTGTTCTACCATCTCAGCTAATTAACACATTAGCCTGTGAAAATAAAACAAATTTGTACAGAACACAAGAATGTCCAAGCCATCATTGCCCATGGTGGACTGGCAAGTACAATAGAAGCTGTGCACTTCGGAAAGCCTATTATCGGAATCCCTTTCTTTGCTGACCAAAGAGTGAACATCATGTCCGTTGTAAGACGCGGAGCCGGAGTACAGCTGGACCTAGACAACCTCTCCGAACAGAAGATATACGAGGCGCTTTCTCAAGTTTTAAATAATCCTAAGTAAGTGGTACAGATTACTAAAACTGATGTTGATGAGGAAAGAGTTCACCACCTTCAAAGATTTATTGTACATCCCATACTAAAATAGTCCTGTCCAGAAAACCCCCTCTTGCCCAAATCCTGTATCTGACGAGGTTCTAATAGGATTCTTAACCTGGCACAGCCCCTGACTCATGCGGCTGGATGCCTTGCAATATGCCAACAGGCGATTATTCCCCTGATATAGATACGTTATAACTTAAGTTTAGCACAAGTAAGGTAATGTTTTACTTAGTAATAATATACTTCTAGCAGTTACTTAATCCACATTTTGCCAAAGGTATAGCTGAGCCAAATAAAGGTATATGATTAGTTAACGCTTAGTCTAATCTCAAAGATTGTTGTTGAGTGGGTGCCACTATTGTCCTGATAAGCCGAGTAGAAGCAATATAAATCTTTCATTGATTTTGATACTTTACTAAATACATAAAACTTGATGGAATCGCTCATCCTAAGTTGCCCACCTCACAACTCATGAAACATCAAGTATTTCAGATAGAGGAATCATTCTCTGTGTTTTCAGGTACTCTAAGAACATGAAGAGTCTCTCATCCAAATTCAAAGATCGCCCCAGAACGCCTTTAGAGACAGCTGTTTATTGGACAGAGTATGTTCTCAGACACAAAGGTGCGCCACACTTGCGCCCAGCATCCACACACCTCTCGTGGTACCAATACTTACTGCTGGACGTCATTGCTTTTCTAGTCACCTTGCTAGCAGCTGTTATCACTGCCTCTTACTTCCTACTGAGATGGACATTGATTAAGATCAGACAACCAAAGATCAACCCGACTAAGAAAAGAAACTGATTTTGAAAATATATATATTTTTTTTTTACATTCAAAATTTGTATCTAATTCTGTAACACCAGTGAACTCCTACTGAGATGGACATTGCTCTAGATTTGATTAGGCCTAAACAAAGGAAAACATTGAATTGGAAAGATATTTTTACACTTAAAATAAACTATGTATCTGATTTGATAATAAATTTAAGAGCAAATAGAAGGTGTCTTTGAAAGATAAGAACAAGAAGCTATGTTTGAAGGACAAGTACATGATGTTTTGAGGATTGTTAATTTTTCACTATCATGCCCAGCTTATTTGTTAGAAAACAATAATTTTCCTACAGTTACCTAACAATGTACATGTTCTCTCACTGATTTGAGAAAGCTAAGTGGCCATCAATGAGACAACCAATGAGACAATGTTTACATTGTTTCACTCTAATTACTTTGTCTTACTCCAGGTTTGCAATGTGAAGGCACGAAAGTGGCCAATTCGCTCATCAGTGAGGCAATGTTAATATTGTCTCACTCCAGATTTGCAACGTGAAGGCACGTTTCTTTACCAATTTATTTGTTTTATGGTAACTGGAGGAAAAATATAATGTACAAATCGAGTGCAAAGTGCACCTAATATGACCATTTTAATTCAAATCATCTAATTGCTTTAGGAACTTCATTGCAAACTGTTGAAATTGTCAGTACAGTATTGATTGAATATACATAAATGTAACATCTTTTGACCGTATTGAGCCCACTAACTTCAAAAGATTCTAATGTGAAGGTTGAGTATGAAATGAACATATTATATATGGTGCCAGAAATACTTATTAAAATTGTGCTGGTCAAATTTTAGGAATCTTCAAATTAAGCTAATGAAACACAAGTGAATACAACACCAGGATTAATGAGCAATACAGGTTTATTAAATACAACATATTTACTTTTCACACATTACACAAGTTATGAATCTATAAAAATGTGAGGTAAGTGATCAGTAGTCTTAGGAAGACAGCAATAAAATGCAAATAATGTCCAAACTGTAAAATATTGTTTACATAGAGTAAACACAATTGTAGAAATACACATCTTAAAACTAAATCTATCATTTGAATGTTTTAAGTTATAAAAGATAACAACAATCAAGAGCAAAGTGTACAACAAATTTACCTTTTTTGTACATTATGTCACAGAAGTAAAAAAATAAATTCTTAACAGGCCTCGAGCTATGTGTAATGCAAACTAATCATTTCCTGCTGAATCATATTTAACTTAAACTTAGGTGGGAAGTTGGCTGAGTCTTGTAGGAGATCAATACCTGTCGTCTTGGAATTTCTTGGTGTTTTGGTGTACACTGGAACACAAAAAAGGAGATTACAATGGTATAATAGAGGAAACCATCAGCATGATAGTAAAAAATCATGCCAAGTGATAGCTTGACTTACTAATATAGAATCTCAAATTATGTTTTAAAGTGACCAAGCTCATTTCTAATTTTATTTACACAAAAATGTTTGTTCTGTTTACCTTTCAAACACCTATAAAGGGAATACAACTTTGTTAAGATGTACCTGAAATGACAATATACAGAAATTCAGTTATTCTACACGAGGACAATACAGAAGAAAACTCTGTTTAGTACTAATAATATTCCATTGCCATGACCAAAATTTAGGAAAGCAAAATGTTATGTACTTATCTTTCGTCTTTTAAAAATAAGGTTTGGTAAGAAAATGTTATTAAATTTGTCAAAAAAGAGAGCACAAAACGCTTCCCATGGGTGGGTCAGGTTTATTTGTAAACTAATTGAAACAGACATATCTTAGGGCCTAATGGAACATAAGAAAACTCAATGTTACTAGCTGATACGAGTTTGTAGAAATGTTAAATAATAAATTACAAACTACCCATACTCTACTCACAAACAAAACCCTGTCAAATTGTTGCTTTTTGTAACACAATTTGTTTTTTGTTTATTTTATTAGTTGAATACATTAAAAGATATTCTATACCATATTAATATAACCATCATATTAAGGATGGTTAATACCAGAAACTTGCATAACAATTTAGTATAGGCTATGTAACATAAATGATCAGTGGTTGAAAAATTACAATAAATAATAAATACCCCCGCCGCAGCAAACCTGCAGACTAAGCGAATTTCCATATATACACAGCTGGAATTCCACTAAATTGTTCCCTTAAAATTGTCAGATTTATTTCCTATTTAAACATCATTAATACTAATGAGTACTTAGGTTTGCTGCTACAGGGAAGAAAATAGGGGGGTTTTATTGAAATATTAATAGCTCAGTATGAAGTAAACAAAATTTCAAAATTTCATTAATATATGTCCATACACAAGCAAGGTACAACACTGTATTTATTCTCCATAAGAATAACATGGTAATTTTAAATTTACATTATTTTGCGATTTTTCCGTAACCGTTATTCATGCAACAATGCTTCAATATACTAAATTATTTGTTTTTTTAAGCTCTACAAAATGGTTTAGAAAGAAATTGCAAAATTGTATGTTTTCAGGGTGAAAAATTAGAAAAACCCATTTTTACCCCATAAAACCCCCTATAAACCCCTGTTCCCATAGTCCGATCATGCTGGTTCGCGAACTCGTTCGAATAAATGTAGGTTTACACGTTTATACCAAATTTCATCAAAATCGGATCCGTTTTGCTCGAGTTATCGCGCTAACGGACACATATATAAATATATATATATATATATATAAATATATATATATATAAATATATATATATATGAATTTGAACGGATGGTGTTTTTGGCCTATGGGGACCTCAAAACGAAAAACTAAATCGGTCCCGGGTCCAGGTCTTACCATGAGACCTACGGTAATAGCTTATTCCCTATATGGGAAATTCGCTAAAACAAAGTGCATTTTACATAATATTCATCCAAACTCCAAACAACAATAATAAAAATTCTGTAATAACAATTGAATTTATTAAAAAAATTGTAATAAATTTACAGAGTCGTATTGTCAAATAGGTAATATTACGAAAACATGGAAAGGTTAACATGGCTATTTTTGCCCATATTATTTTTTATTATTCCAACAAAATCATGATTTTGAATAAAAAAAAATCCTGATTGACAACTTTTAGTTTTAAACATTGTAACTAAATCAGTCTTTTTACTATATAATAACGATCTTTTGTCCAGAGATTGGCTAAAAAGACGAGGAACTTAATATACTAATTGATATAGTATTAACACTATAAATTCAGTGATTTATAAAAGGTTCACAAGGATATCAATATTGACCAAATTGTATGAAACATTTGTAAAATGTTTAAGTGGGGTTATTATCGAAACCATTTATTTCATTTCATTAATGTAGGTATCTTCATTTTTAATCTATGGACAAGCAAGAGGAACCTATATGGTACAGTTTTGTTTAACAGCATTATTGCTTTTTATATACTAATCCAGGTATATAAGAAGCAGAGTAAAAAAGAATATAACTATAATTGCACACATTCAATCTCAGTCACCAATAAAGCTGCATTGTAGAAGCAAAGAGCACATAAAATGAACAAATATGTTAATTTTAATAACAAAAGATTTAAGAATAAAATTTAATTCTTTTCAAGCTTTATTTGCACATTGTAAATTGAAGGTTTACCTTAAATTAAAATATTTTCTAATAAGCTTCGGTATTGAGGTTCCATTGTCATTGTTGTTACAAGTTCTTAGTCTGAATTGCCCATTTTTGCTCCCCTTGACAAATAACTATTACACTTCTAAATTATTTTAATATTTTATTTAAACCAAAACAATAACTTTTAGTCATTTACCATTCCAGACAGCTTGGTAGAAAGGTAATTTCTAGACTTAACTATAATCATAATCAAATGTTCTTATCCTAAAAAAAAAACCGAAATGATATAATTATAATTTAAGAATGGCTAATACATATTATTGTCCTCAAATACTGAAGTAGACATCCCATCTATATGGATTGACCAGTAGAAGAAAATTATTTTATAATAGTTTTTTTTACACCTTACGTTAACTAAATACGCTAAACGTTATACGTTAATTTTTAGTGATAAGCATATACTGGGCTCAATAAGGTACAGTAGAGTCCCGTTAGTCCGAAATGGTTGGGACCGGGCCCATTTCGGATTAAAAGTTTTTTTTCGTCTTAGGACGCAGGCACGAGCCCGGGATTGTTTTTCAAATTACTTAAGGCTAGACCTGGTGGCTGCAGCATTATCATTTACAGTAATAAAATCCATTTGTGATTTGGCGGACGAAAATGAAAAATGTTACAGTAATAACAAAAATGGTGAAATATTTAATAAAATACTCTACAAAAAAGTCTATCTCGCCCAGCCGCTACAGAATACGTTGACAAGGTACAGCTAACTGTGTTAAAAGTTTAATAAAAAAAGATTAAAAAAAAATAAAAAAATTTCAAAAAAAGTTTTGAAAAATTTCTAAAAAACTTTTATAAATTTCAAAAAAGTTTCAAAATTTTATAACAAAAAAAAAATTAAAAAAATATATTTTTTTGGTTTTGGATTAAGCGGACTTTCGGATTATCGGGACTCCACTGTATAACAGGCCCGCTATTTCACGGGATTTATCGTAGTGTTTTATCGTACCGTTTAAGCCAGCAGTTAAGTGTACACAATTAAGCATAACCTAAGATGGAAGAGTATGCTGGGGATTTTTTTTTTTAAAAAGCTTGATTAGATTTTTGCTTGGACTTTTATTCAACACGGATAAAAAACGTTTGTGATTCACCCTAATTGATATTGATATATGTTACTGTAGTGTTATTGAAAGAAGTTCTACGAGAAAACCTTTTGAAGATAATTGAAAGTGGAATGACTGAATGACAAACTGAAACTGTGTTTTTTGAATTCATACTATTGGCAACACTGACTCAACAACTCACTGGCCACCATTTTGGACATCTAGAAAACTATCTCTTCCTTAGTTGAAAATGCTGTCAGTGACAGTGAAATATTCTAATGTTTTGTGTATGTAGTGTAAAGTTTTGTTTTGTGTTTCCTGTGCCAGTTTGGACTCTTTCCCATTCAGGTAAGCCTGCTATCCTCTCAAAAAATCCTAAAAAATCTAGGCCCTTGTGCTCTATGCTACACCCTTAACCTCAAACTGAAACAACACTCATTTTCTTTCTTACTTATTGTGTTCCTTTTTATCTATCCATCTTTCCTATTCCTTTTCACAATGTTTCTTGCCAAATCTTGGATTAAACAAATGAAGAATGATGCCTTTCATTTGGCCAAAGTCAATACACATGTATTATTTCTGGAAGCTTGCCTCAATCTAGGCCTAGCCCCTCTAGGCCTAACCTCTAAACCACCTTTGTCTAGCTCCCCTAAATACATGTGGCCTGAACTTATAGAACTTTACAAAACAAACTCCATTGAAGCCACAAGAATTACATTGAGAAACTACAAAACTGAACAACACAAATTACTCAATAGCCTAAAAGCAGTCAACCATCTTCTTATAACGAATTTCCCTAATCTAATCTCTGAAATGACCAGTACAGTGAAAAAAGCTGACCAGCTACAGGAGAATCTAGCAAAGAATAAACTAAAAAAACTGTCTAAACTATGCTTGTTGAAATTAAGAAATGAGGGATTTATTGAAGCTAACTGTTCACTTCCAAACCAAAAAAACGTACCTTTGATAGGAGACAAGCCTAGCCTTGCCACAATTTTTAATCTTCCGATTCCCACAGGACAATTACCTTTACTACCAAAAGTCCCCTACAGAAGGCCCACAGTGAAAAAAGATGAAACAGACAGCAACACCGTCCCTAAAAATACCATTTCCGATCAATCGGTTATGAACATCTCTTCGCATGAGTTGTCGGAGGATGAAACATCAGTGCTCTCTAAAGGCCTAACCTTTACTCCTACTCACACATTGGACCCTTTCAGTTTAGGACAGGACATTTTCACATTTGCGAGAAATCTTAGAATACAGTACCACATACATCAATTTCCAAACGCCCTAAAAAACCAACCCCAACCCGATGATTCTCTCATGAAGTTTAAACCGCCTTCCAACTGGGATCCACCGCCTCTACCACCTGATCATCCGATTGAACTGTACATAAACTTCATAATGCAAACTGTCACAGACCCTAATTTCTTGAAGAAACTGCCAAAAAACGACAATCTGACTCCAGGAGAAAGAACAGCTCTAAAATCCTTGAAAAACAATAGAAATATTATGATACTACCAGCTGACAAAGGATCCACCACTGTAATTATGAACAAACAAGATTACACTGCTGAAGCCTACAAACAGTTATCCGACAAAGACACCTACAAAGAGATTGATGAAAACCCAACCAACGATTTTAATACTGAACTCACACAGTGGCTCGTTAAAGAAGCACCTCTCCAAAATATATCCCCTGAATCAATAAGACTACTCATAAATGACAACCCCTCTACCCCTCAATTTTACATACTGCCCAAGATACACAAAAACGTTTTTCCACCCCCTGGCCGACCTATAGTTGCCAGTTGCAATTCTGCCACGGAAAGAATCTCGGCATATGTAGATTCTCACCTGCAACCTTTTGTCAGAGAATTACCTTCACATGTTAAAGACACCAACCACTTCTTAGATCGGCTGACAACCATACCAACACCTCTTCCTCCTGAGACGATTTTGGCTACCACAGATGTAACTTCCCTGTACACTAACATCCCCCTTACACATGGACTTGCGGCTATAGAATTTTTCCTGGATCAACGCCCCAAAAACACTAAGCCCTCAACTTCTTTCCTACTGAACATGGTTAAGTTCATTCTAGAAAAAAACAATTTTCAATTTGAAGGTAGAAACTATTTACAAACTAAAGGCACTGCCATGGGTACGAGGATGGCCCCATCCTACGCAAATCTGTTCATGGGGAAACTCGAAAAATGTTTCCTACAATCCCAAAAAGTACAACCTTTGTGTTGGTTCCGGTTTATAGACGATATTTTTATCTTGTGGACCTCAGGCTCAGACTCCTTAAAACAGTTTATTGACAGCCTTAACAGTTTCAGTTCCCTTAAATTCACCAGCAACATCTCAACATCAACAATAGTTTTCCTGGACCTAGAAATAAATATTCAAGATGGACTCATACAAACCGGTGTACACTTCAAGCCTACCAACCATCTACAATATTTACATTTTAACAGCAACCACCCAAAGAACACCAAAAGATCCATCCCGTTCAGTCAAGCCATCAGGGGCAAAAGGATCTGCAGCAACGATGATGAATTAAACAAGTTCAATAACAAAATATCTGACGCATTCATAAAAAGGGGTTACCCTAGAAAGCTGGTGGAGAACCAAATCCGCTTAGCGCAAGACCATCCACAACCAAATAATGAAAAACGAAATAGCAAAAACATTGCTCTTGTCACAGACTACCACCAAGGACTACATTCATTGAATGGCATTTTAAAAGAGGGCTTCAAAATCCTCAAGGCCTCCAACCACACCATCAATTTTTTGAAAGATCCACCTAACATTGTTTTTAGACAACCACCCAATCTCCGAAAAATACTAGTCCACCCAAAAGTTCCTGACCCGGCCCACAACAACCCAAACAACGCACGCCCTAACGGTTCATATCCCTGTGATAACAAGAGATGTAAAACATGTGAAATAAATCAACCCAGCCAAACATTTTCCAGTTCCACAACCAAAGAAAACTACAACATCCGAGGCTTCAACACTTGTGAAACGAAGAACATTATCTACCAACTACAATGTAATAAATGTGAGGCACAGTATGTAGGCCTATCCACCAATAGCCTCAGAACCAGGATGAATGGCCATAGACAAGATGTATCTACTGGATACAAAGACAAACCAGTTGTACAACATGCCCAGAGCCACAACAACCCTAGTTTCAATGACTGCTTTACAACCAAAATAGTCAAATCACTGCCCCCTCAATGTAACCAGTCACAACTGAGAAGATGGGAATTGTCTTATCAATGGTTTACTAAGTCTAGACAACCCCCAAACCTAAACCTGAGATAATACCTTCATCTAACCCACTCCACTTCAACATCCAACCCAACTAGCAGGCTTACATATTTATTCATATATATATATAGTGCATATAAGATAAACTGAAACTGTGTTTTTTGAATTCATACTATTGGCAACACTGACTCAACAACTCACTGGCCACCATTTTGGACATCTAGAAAACTATCTCTTCCTTAGTTGAAAATGCTGTCAGTGACAGTGAAATATTCTAATGTTTTGTGTATGTAGTGTAAAGTTTTGTTTTGTGTTTCCTGTGCCAGTTTGGACTCTTTCCCATTCAGGTAAGCCTGCTATCCTCTCAAAAAATCCTAAAAAATCTAGGCCCTTGTGCTCTATGCTACACCCTGAAAGTGGAATGACATTGATCAGTTATAGCTCCTTAAGCTGAAAGTAAAAAATTTCCTCCACAGCTAAAAGATCAATCCCAACCAAGTATATTAAACAATCCTAACCTCTAATCATTAATAAATACAACACCTTAGATCCATTTGACGTTTAGTTTTAGCGTTTGGAGTTTCAACAAATCAAAATCTCTTACGTTACCTAAACTCTTAACGTTTAGTGTTTGCATTAACGGGATTTTCAAGAAGATGAAAAACTCTAATTATAAAAAACAAAGTCGGAGCTTCTCATAGAAAGTACTAAATTTCAAGTTTTACTTCCTCTTTTGATTTCTGATTTTTTGAGAAATAAACTGACACTTAAAAGCAGTGCATTCTGTATGTTAACTCAATTAAAATAAGTTATTTTATTAAAAATAAAAAATAAACCAACTTCAACTTTTGCAGAGAATGGAATGTCTACCTCGCACAGAAGTGGATCTATAACGAAAGCTTATTTGAAGCATACAAGCGTTATCAGAGCAGTTAGTAGAGTTGTTAGTGACACGAGTTTGTAGGATGACTAGAGATTTATTGTTTCCCAAGACCAACAACAAAATCACTAGTCTTCCACACAACCAAGGTCTGTTAGTGAAGCAGCAGATCTTAGTGAAGCGCCACAAACCTGTAAATTATGTTAAAACCAGAAACCTATGATATATTAGAATGTATTACACAAAGAAGTCTTATATATTTCATACAATTATATTTATCTCATACAGTATAAGTAATTCACTAAGTTAGGCTACAGATTTAAATTACAGAGGAGTCTCGATAATACGATCTTCAGTTTTCTGACCTTTTCTGTGGAAAATCAAGTAGAGGTGGGAGATATCGTTACTTAGCTTTTCAGTAATAGATGAAGAGATACTATAACTACTGTCACATTCTTGTCAAAGACGTTTAAGCCGGGTCGCCATTAAAAGGAATAAATGATCAGCAATATTTTAATTGCTTGTTCTACTGGTTCAGATGACTTTTAAAATTAATAAATGGGTATTTCCAGTAATCTATTACCACGGTAATAGGTGACACTTCAGTTATAGTATTACTTATTATTTTACATTAAAATGTTCGATTTCACATTTACAAGTTTACAAGGTTTAGGCCTATAAAAGATATTTCCTTTCTATCTAACTTTTTGCTTATCTGGCCTTGCCACGGCTGATCTAGGTTGGGTAGTTGAGACTCTTCTGTTGTTCAATCTATACAAGATTAATATTTCGGTTTACAACTTAGGCCTACACCTTAAGTTTTACACCATATAACCGTATAAATTACACAATATAAATATAAATTAAAGCCAATCCCTCCTTATCTAGACATTCAATTAAATTTTATGTTTATTAAAGATTAATATTCTTCAAAAATATAAAAATAAAATTACAACTTTAGTATACAAATAGTTAACTAATTAAACAGTTCTTCTGACGTGTGTGTAGTTCTTACCAATCAAATAGTCTCTTCTAACAAAATTAAAAAAAAACCATCATAATTCATAAGTCAGTTTATATTACCTTTGCTGTAGAAGGTATTGTGCCATCTTTATCTGGTCCGGCAGACCGGTTATGGTTATAACCCGGTCCGTCGCACCGGGGAGCGGCTCCTCAATTGTTATACCGGCGCCGGCCTCCGAACGGATTTTCTGAATTCTGACTCCGCCCTTGCCTATTATAGCCCCTGCCAGCTGCAAGCAAAAGTTACAGGTTAGGGATTAAATATGAGTAAGATTCTATTAGGCCTACCTGAAATTATATTTTACAATTATATAACATTTTAATAATAAAAGGAACTACAGTTGAAGAAATTTTTTTTCATTACTGCTAGTTGGCTTTGTTTTGAACTTGAGGTCAGTCCACAATAGTGAATATTTTTGTAAGTCATGATAATGAGTAAGTTTAGGAAGCAACTGTAAAAAAACAATGAATCATTCTAACAGATAGCTGCTAAACTATAAGCCAAGAAGTTGGAAACGCAAATCTATTTTGGAACTCACTTAAGTGGTGAGAGACAATTGTATTCAACATTTTATTATTTATTTTTCATTTTATTTTAACAAATAATTATTTATTTAGTAAAGAATAATGGAACATAACCCTTAAAAGGGCATTTGGGGGGGGGGGGATAGGCATAAGGAATAAATTATGAAGGAATAAATTATTATAAATTTGCAAACAATTTCATAATTTGTGCTGAAATAGCAAAGCCTTCACTTAAATGAAGCAAGTTATTAGAAGCATAAAGGCATGAAAAAATAATTTGCATTTTAGAAGTTATTTCACATAAAACACTGGTTGCTATGGCTTGAAAGTATGTAGGTCTTTGTTAGTGTGGTTTTGTTACAAAGATTTATCAGAACCGGCTTGATTTTTGAAAATTTTTTAAATGTATTTTATCCTTGATTAAAAGACCTCATGATAGTTGTGTCTACGTAATTCGTAAATCTTAAAATTATTTACAAGAAAACCATCCAAAACCCTGGTTACTATATAACATTGACCTTAAACGTAATTCATTAAATAGCCAACAAGCTATGAAACTTGTTGTGGATTCATAATTTATCTCCCTCGATTGGAATCAAACTAGCGCCCTTCAGACATTGAGGCGAGCACTATAACCACTTACACAGACCAACCTTTGAACACAATAATCATCACACAAGCTAGCAACCAGTGTTCTATGCTAACACTAACAAGCAGAAAAATAAACGGGAGAAGAAAGGGGGAAGCAGCGGTGCACACGCAAAAAGAACAACAGTGTGAAAACAAAACATGAGTAAGACGTGAGACGTGCGCCAATATATTGTCTGGTGTGTTGGTCTCGACTCCCTCCTTTCTTGCCCGTTTGTCTGGTGTCTTTGTACTTACGTCGATTGGAATGGTTACTTGTGATTTCGTAGGAACACCATCGCCAAAATCCAAAGGACCATTGGATCTTGGTCCGGGACCAGCGTTTCTCGATCTGTTCATTCCCCCCCTCCCCATGCCCGGTGGGGGTCCGTCAAAATTGTTTCTAGTTCCTAAAAGGGACCCAGTCAGTTCAACACACCAAACAATATATGTTTTAACTGCTCTAGATCAATTTCCAATACTATTGTGCTAAGCCTATAAATTAGTATTAGGAGACTAAAGCGTCTTTGAGTTATTATTTCATTAATTATTAATTAGTTTAATAATATTAATGATTATTGGTTATGATAGTAGGCTTAACTAAATAGGAAATGCAAAAGTTAAATTTTACTGTATTGACAGTTTTTTTTAAGCGAGGACAATTATTTTAGTTCCACTGAATATAATTTTAGTCTTCAGATTCAATGGTCGGTAGTTTCCTCTTTCATTAAAAATACTGTCAGTGACAATGAAAAGTTTTAATTTGAGTGAACAGTGTCTTTTCAAGATTTTTTTTCCTGCCAGAATTGCTCATAACCAAGTAAGCCTGCTATCCCAACAAACTATTTAAGACTGTGAATATAATTTCAGTTCAGCCTACACCAAAAACTAATGTTCATCATTGCTCTTGAAGTTGTTTGAATTTAAATTTCAAAACTGTAAGTTAAACCAAACTTTATTGAGATTGAGACACTAAAATAGTGCACATAACACGTTAGAAACTAGTACAATTTCTTAGAAATTAACACAAGTTGAATGAAAACTAAATGATACAGCAAAACTACAAATGCTTTTCAATGTAAACCTGGACTACATAATCATAATATAAAAATAAAATAGTAAGCTTTTCAATACCCTCTCCATTGAATTCCCATACCTGTGATTTTATGTTCACACCAGCATGCTCACTTAGACGATGGATAATATACAAACATCTTTATTAGCAATTTCTTTAAGAAATACATTAGACCGTCTAACAAATTTTCCTTTACCAGATATAGTATAATACTAAGAAATCATAATTCATCAACTGGATCCCAGAATTTCCTTACACTGATCATACTGTACTGCGGCCATGCAATAATGTTGCTTAACATTTTAAAACCTTGTTTATCTGTTTGGTAATCTTTGGGTGACTGTGACTAATGGCACGAATATGCGAGTGAAAAATGTGGAGATTTGAAAATGGAGCTATAATTCTGACATTAGTTAATCTGATAGCAAATAGTGGATTGGCTGGGACAAAAGGTACCACCATTATAGAAATAATCCTTAGTAACTAAAAATATTTTTGGCTATGATATGGCGATCTAAGAACATTTTCTACAGTTTTCCATTCTGACTCTAGTCAAGCTATCTTTATATGTATGCCTCTGGAAAGTAGGGGCTTCTATGGTATACTTTGTACTTGGATATTGACAACTTAATAAGGTAGGCTAGAATAATGGGAAGGGATAATATAATAACTGTTAAATTGTTTAGTTAATTTTCTTCAATTCATTGTAATTTCTCAGGGACATTTCTTGTTTACTACTATATGTTTCCAATTTTTCAAACATAGAATTCAAATTCAAGTATTTTCTTCACTTAATCACCCATAAATAAAAAAAATCCCGTATAAAAAGTTTGTATCTTTCAAAATTTTTAATAATTTGTTTTGTCAAATTTTTGAGCACAACTAGTTTCTATAACATCAGTTAATTTAACTGCGTTTGTCGTCTAACGAGTTCCAAGCTTAAAAGCAAAACGGACAAGCATGTAAGTAAGATCCAATTCCTCAAGTTAACCGTCTAAGTATCCAGGTTTAGAGGGTATCATGCAAAGGGAATGGGAGGAACCAAGTGGAAAATAAGCTGTTTCCACAAGACAGTCAAATAACATCCCAATAGTGCAACATATTCTTTCTTTTCAACCCCCAATAATAACCATTGCACTACAAACTAATAGGTCAATGATGTCTAAGGATAAGTATAAGCTTGAATATGTAGGGTATAGCACATTAGCTTTAGTTTGAGGAAACCAAACCTTCTAGTGTTTGTGTTGTGTTGAGAGGAAAAGGCGTAAGGGTGAGAAGGTAAGCAAAGGTGAAACCTGGGAGAAAGGGATGGACATTCTAATTCTAGATGTAAGGCACAGTGTCCTTCCAAAAAATATTCTCAACTATTTGCATAAATTTCTTTATTTTTTAACCCTTAATGTTTTCGTTAGTTTCTCCTCTATAATTCCTACAGTGTACATTACCACCTGGTCTAATAAACCACCTGTTTAAAGTTTCAATAGATTCAAAAATTTAGTTTTCATGGCGGGAACAGATGCATGCTGTTTAGTCAACACAAAAGTTAGATCTAGTCTACTGCTAGTGTTTACAACAACAAATAAATACAAGCACACAATTCAAATCCCTAAAGGGGTTGCGAAATTGTAAAACTACTCTTGGAAAATACTTTTACAAAGCATGGAAGGTAGTTTCATGGAATACAAAACTTGATCTAACATTATTCTATGCACTATATACAGGGTGTTCATTTGAAAACTTTCCATATTTGTTGTGTGCAAAGGTAAGGCTTTTAACACTTGTTTGTTCTCATTTCCCCCTAATTTGGACATGCCAAATCCAATAAAATTATTTTCAATTTTGAAAAATGCCCCAAAAGGGCCCAATTTGGGGGGTAGGGGTGCTTTTTGAGAAATTTTCAAATGTAAACATGGGTTGTGTGATACATCAATTTAAAGGTCTAATCACCCCGATCATTTTGGTGCAAAAAAAGTTTAATTATCTTTAACCGTATTTACAGGGTGGGTCAAAACGTTTTAAAAAAGGACTTTGAAGTTAAGTACCGTATTACCCTAACAACTGAACGGAACAGTGCCAAATTTCTTTCCAAGCTTATTCTTGAGCTACTCTTTAAGATAACTTGTAGTAAGGGCATTTTCCAAATTATTTTCTAATTTTTAAAAAATCTCAAATTTTAAGAATAAAAGAAAGCTGAAAACTCAAAATTCTTAAATAGCAAGGTATAACAAATTTCATACCACGTGAGATGTCCTTTTTTAACAAACATTAAATACGTATTTAAGTTTTCTTTCTATCTCTTACCGTTTAAAAATTGCAGTGGAAAAACATAATTTTCCATGGTAAAATTATAACTAGTTTTCTAATAAAACACATTGCACTTTGTTCAACGATGTAGTAGGATTCATAACAAATTCATCGACTACTTTTACGTGTGTCAGAATTCAACTTGGACCCTTCATCCTGTTCTTTTCTCATTGGTAACTGAGCCAGTTTCAGAAAACTTCCTAACTAAATCATTTACAGCCATATGACTCAAGGTTATACCTGGATTTCTATTGTTAAACACTTTGCAGTTATCCTGGAACACTTTTGTTATGACCAATAAGTAAAATAAAGTATATTTTTTTAAGTTTACACCATATTTGATTAGGTACTACAGGAAATGGTACTTTTGAAATTAGTACTACCATTGACTAGTCAATGGTACTACAGAAAGCGGCCCACGCTTGGGTTTTTCTCATCAGCTATAAAACTTGTTTCTCACAAAGTAAAACGTAATGACTTGTTTGCCTATCTGCCTAAAAATAATTATGAATTGTTTCCTTCAGTTATTGCACCATTTAATGTGTCTAGAGACGAATTTTGGCTGTTTTATTAGAAAACAAGTTACAATTTTACCACAGAAAATTATGTTTTTCTACTGCAATTTTTAAACGGTAAGAGATAGAAAGAAAACTTAAATACGTAAAATGTTTGTTAAAAAAGGACCTTTCACGTGGTATGAAATTCGGTATACCTTGCTATTTAAGAATTTTGAGTTTTCAGCTTTCTTTTATTCTTAAAATTTGAGATTTTTTAAAAATTAGAAAATAACTTGGAAAATGCCCTTACTACAAGTTATCTTAAAGAATAGCTCAAGAATAAGCTTGGAAAGAAATTTGGCGCTGTTCCGTTCAGTAGTTAGGGTAATACGGTACTTAACTTCAAAGTCCTTTTTTTAAAACGTTTTGACCCACCCTGTAAATACGGTTAAAGATAATTAAACTTTTTTTGCACCAAAATGATCGGGGTGATTAGACCTTTAAATTGATGTATCACACAACCCATGTTTACATTTGAAAATTTCTCAAAAAGCACCCCTACCCCCCAAATTGGGCCCTTTTGGGGCATTTTTCAAAATTGAAAATAATTTTATTGGATTTGGCATGTCAAAATTAGGGGGAATTGAGAACAAACAAGTGTTAAAAGCCTTACCTTTGCACACAACAGATATGGAAAGTTTTCAAATGAACACCCTGTATATATTACACACACTAGATATTTCTTAACTCTAAAGAGAGGGTCTGTGTACAGTTGAGTCTCGCTATTCCGAACCCCATAAATTCCAAAATCCATCTACAACAAAATGAATTTCGTACCTTAAGTACGAAATTTTTTAAAGACGTTTGTACGAATTTAACTATGTCACAGCAAAAGTCGAAGCTAGCGACGTCGTTGCAAATGTCAGAAAAGAGCTCTAAGTGGCACTAAAATCATGAAATGATGTACAGTAGCAGCATCATCGATATTGGCTGGCATTTTCTAAAACTTGTAATGATGATTTTGGTATTTTTGACAAAGACACTGATTCTCACGAATGGTGGAAAATTCAAGAAAACTAAAATGTCAGCTAAATTTGCAATATTGCCGCAACCAGTGGAGAATCCAACGATAATACCACAAATGTTGGTGAAGTTCCTAATATAACCGCGAACATTGGTGGAGTCAGCACACGAACATGTTGCCTACAGTGAACAGAGAAGCTTTCAACTTGAGTTTATAATTTCCTGCTTACGTTGCAGCATCGTTATCTCTTGTGATCACGGCCATAGCGCCATCATCTGATCTGAGGCTACACAAACGTCAATTAAGATCACAACAATTTCGTCACCAATACTTTAAATTAAAGAAATCAGATTATTCCCGATTCCGCAATTCCAAATAGAGTTTGATCCCAGTTGGTTCGGAAAAGCGAGGGACTCTACTGTAATTGGGTTTGGAGAGAAAGAACAAGCTTAACTTTTTACTCAAAATGCATAAATGTAAGTAACCTGAAAATTGACAACAAATTGGTTAGTAAACAATAAACATAAAATATTTGTTCTTTTTTTATTTTTACATGAAAAAATATCGAGTCTAATTTAACCTGAATAAAAATAAGGCTGTTCTTACTCTCACTTTCCTGTAGCCTACATTTTATTACTAATAGATGAACCTTATATGATGAAACTCAAAAATGAAATATTGACTTACCTCCACCACCTCCAAATCCACCACCGCCTCCGCCAAAACCACCTCTTGGTGGAGGACCGCTGCAAGAATAAATATCAAAAATATTAGAGTTTTGCCAATTTAAAAATTTTACTGAACCCTTCAAAAAGGAGCAATGTCCAAGACCCGAAATTGGAGAACACTTTATCTTGGTATATCTGGCAAAATATGAAGTATCTTCTGAAATTTTCAACTAGTGAGTCATACAAGAAAAAAATTAACGTCTAGAAATTTTGTGCAAACAAAAAAGAAGTAAACGTTCCTCCAAATCCACCACCGCCTCCGCCGAAACCACCTCTTGGTGGAGGACCGCTGCAAGAATAAATATCAAAAATATTAGAGTTTTGCCAATTTAAAAATTTTACTGAACCCTTCAAAAAGGAGCAATGTCCAAGACCCGAAATTGGAGAACACTTTATCTTGGTATATCTGGCAAAACATGAAGTATCTTCTGAAATTTTCAACTAAGTGAGTCATACAAGAAAAAAATTAACGTCTAGAAATTTTGTGCAAACAAAAAAGAAGTAAACGTTACCCTATATCTGTAGGTAGATTTTATTGTCATATCAATCATAGTAATAAGCTAAGGCTACAGTAGGACACTCACCCCATCCCCGGACCTCTGGCTGGTGGGCCACCGAAGGGTGCAGGTCTGCCACGTCCCATGTCCCTGCCGCCCATGTCTCGGCTCATGGGTGGACCACCTAGGTCTCTGCCCATACCACCTCCGCGACCTCCCATAGAACCACCGTAACCACCGTAGTCATCAGCGTAGACATCATCAAAGTTGATGGGGTCGTAGGGACTGTCTGTACCCTTCACTGCAACCTAAACAAAATTACTCGACATCAATTCATGAAAAATAATAGTTTTCATGTCGCTGAAAAGCTCCACAGAACAGGATTGTTATTTTTAGAAAAAAAACATCTAGCTTACCTTGGAAAATGTCCAGGGAGGCCCTAGTACTCACAGAAGTGAAGTACTTAGTTCCCTAGGGGGCTTAAAGTTTAGACAAAAACAGTAACAGCCCTTTTAGTGTTAGTTTTAGTAACTAAACAAGCTAGTTTAAGACCAATGCTAGTCACTTATTCCCTCGTCTTGTAAGTCTAAATTACAAAAAATTCACCACTTAACAATAAACTTTTTTTAACAGTTTTTTTTTTAACTTAACATTTGTGTATCCTAATGCAATACTTCACTAAAACGACTGGGAAAATTTTAGACCGAAAATCATCATATTAGACTATCCTACTTTATTCATGCCCAAACCGTATTAATACAAGTTTTAGTTTCATTCCGTAGCTGCCCAAGGAACGGTTACAAGTACTCACAGTTCTGAGGAGTGCCACCATCTCTTGAACACAATCTACAGAGTTTCCTCGGCCGGTGATCTGAACAACACGGTCAGTGCTTTGTGGACAACAAGAAGTGTAGATCTTGATTCTGGCACCGGTTTTCTGTCAAAAAACAACAAACTAAGTGACTACAGGTCTTTGGCTTGGTTTTAGTAAATTTTGGTACAGTAACATTCTGACTGTACAACTTACCAAATCTAATTTTTTGCAGGCTCATGATTGTGATTCAAGTTTTGCAGGTAGACTGTGTACAGTAACCCTACAAACAATAATCTAAGCCCTCAAATTATCCGAGGTTGTTATTAAAGTTCCAAATATATATATATATATATATTTAATTTATGGTTGGAAAACAATAATTAGGCTACATCACAACTAAAGTAAAATAAAAACAGTAACAATCAAATCAATTTTTGAGATTTTAAAATCCGTATTGAATCCACAGTCACAAAGTATAGAAATGAGAATTCATTTTATGTACCTCCAATGTTAAGTTTAAAGAGAAGGTTAGCTCAAAATTCACAGCTTCATTAAAATGTTTAAACTGTTGCCAGAATAACTGTTCATTTACTGTTTGACGTTTGCAAGGTTAAATAATTTAAACTACCCAATTACAGAGCCTTCTACTCAATGACCCAACCAGCACAAGTACTCTCGTCTACAAACTGTCCATACAAACTTCTCATCACCAGCAGTTTACTGAAAAACCAAAGCAGACCAATAATCTAGATTCAAAAACAATCTCCGAGATCTTCTTTTGGCAAATCCACTCTTCTCTACAGATGATTTCTTCAGCATTTCCAACAGCATTGTAAATATTAATTTTAAGTAGAAGCTGTATGGGTTGCTCGTTTGGTTTGCTTTCTCTCTATTTTCTGATTTTGTGTTTTTTTTTTTTTGCTGAATCATTTCAGAATGCCTGCCTTTTGTATTGCATTTCTTGCATGTATTAGAATGTTGACAATTAATTAGTGTCGCGTCTTAAAGCATTTTGATTTGCCTAATCCTATTCAGATTTAATCTTTATTTTAGAAGAATATTTTACCTCTCTGAGTTCTTTGACTTTGAGTCCGCCCTTGCCGATGATACAGCCTGCTTGGCTCTGATGTACCAGCATCCTGATGTCCGCATCTTCTCCTCCCTTGCTTCTTGTCTGGAACACAACAAGTCTAAAGTACTCCTGACGGTCTCTTAAAACAAAATAATATCTTAGTCTCTGCTTGATATAGTAACAACCTGGAAAAGTTTGATTGTTACAAACACAAATTACACAAGTTGGGAGGAATTACAGAAAACTGCAAGATCCTCAAAATATGTACAAAGCAAATTGACAATGCTTGAAAATAATAATCGTATCAGCCTATTCATGACAAAAAATTCTTAGGCAGAAAAATATAAACTAATGACAAAATCAAATTCGATTACACCAGATTTATCAGAGTTAGATAGCCTGAAACTTAACATCAATCATAACTTTATTTACTAGGTAAAATAATGTTTAAGTTTTTTAAAATATAACTTATATGATGCCAAACTTTGATTTTCTCCAAGTGAAATTGTTGCAGACTGGTAAAAATTCATTGCCATTGTATCATAATAAAACATATTTCGTTAACTACTTATTCGTATAATTCCACCAACTTGTATATTTCTATTCAAGAGAAAAATACGTTTTTAATGATCAATATTAATATAAAGTGAAGCTATCCAATAAGAATGAGACAACCAGTTCAAAGTAAAATAAATCATTATTGTGATACAAATTAAGAAAAGATTCAATTTATCGGTCACGACCAGTGCAAAATTAATTAACAACAGACACCAAGCGTAAAGGGATTTTTTATTTATTTAACCACCTGAATGATATAAAATATTGAAACTTACATCTTCAAGATTTGGAATCACTTCCTGAATGACTTTGATCACAGTCTCAACATCTGATGCGCTCACTGTCAAAATGCTGAAAGAAAAGTTTATCCATATTAACTTAAGAAGGACCACATCCATTTAGGAAACAGAACCTATCTGTCATCAGCAACTTGTCTTTTGCAAATCAAAAACTCTTCAGTGAATCGTTAAATTGTAATAATTTTGTCTTTCAATAAGTATTTAATAGTTATATTACATTACCAGTCCGGAAAATAGGTGTTTACCAGACGAGTATGGTTGGGAATACTATACGAGTACGGTTAACTCATTGAGGACGAGTGATGAACAATATTTTTTGGCATACTACTCTAAACTTACCAAACAATAATAAATTGTTATAAATCCCTCATATTTCTGCCAACTAAGGACTTAAATCACTACTCATAGGTAAGGTAGGTAGGTAGGTAGAGGTTGTGTTTTCGTTTATTGATTCGTTTGACTTATTTCCAATTTCAACTTATGAGCTGGTGTCCGATTAAAATTCATTACAGTACAGTAGTACATAATGATACCCCATTTGACTAAGCAGGCAGCAAACAGCTGTTCTCCGGACTAACTTAATGCGTGGCAGTCTAGAGTAGTGAAAAATCTATTTACAAAATAAATGCATGACAGATGGATTCGGCTTCACATAAGCACACTATTTTTGATTATTGAAAATATGAAATTTTATAATTTTTTTCAGGATATGGAATTTAAACTTAAATAAGATTGTTCTTCTATTTCAACATCTAAACATACATTTCCCTAATGATTATGAATGAACCTGTTATCAATGAGTGTGGGAAGCAAAATAGTTAGAAATTATAAAATAAACTGTCAAAAGTAATAAATCAATTATGTTTTCACTAACTTTCTAATCCATTTGTTGCCTGTGATATTTAAAAAAGGGTTACATCCAAGGAAATTTGTTTCCCAATAGTTTCTAAAAGCAACAAGCTACATTTTATAGATGTCATGACAAAAAGACCATGTTACTCTCGTTGATACAATTAGCTGAAAGCAGCAAACTTAATGTACAAATTAGAAAATGTAAACAAATACAATGTGTATTATGTATTCTAGTTTTATACCTCAAGTTAAAAAAATTTACGACTAATCAATCAATTTAAATAAAAACACTGCTTTAAAAATAAAATTAATCAATTTCAAGCGATTTGTATGTCTTGATAAGTGAGTCTACTATTACGGCTGTGGGGAGCGGGACCCTGACATGCGAGGGACCCGTAAAGTGATTGATATAGTTGAGGGTATTACCGTTCGGGGCCAGGGCAATCGGGGACAGTAACTGAAGCTTTGAACTGGAGTGGACACATCGGGGCAGGACGGCGAACACCGAGTCAAAAACATAAACATTAATGATATTGTCCCCACAAGTGGTAGTGTGTCGGCGACAGTAAGGTCGACTGTGCTCGCTGTGGACTTGCGGCATCCCGACCCACCAATGATAATAAATCAAACAAACAAAAAACAATAGTTTTTGGTTCTATTAATCTGATGCAAGATTTTTTTTTTTTGATTTTAAATAGTTTCATTCTATTGTAATATCTAGTAAACTATTTTGAGGAAGAGTAAAACCCCTTCTAACAGCACCCAGTAAAACCAGTAGAGTTAAACAACAGATAAATATAAAAAAATCAGAGCAGAAAACGTCACGGATCTTATATCAATGAAACAACCTAATAGAATGTTTCCCGGCATTAGTACTGGATGCCACAAGTTACAGTGATATCAGTGTCGACCTGAAAGCACCGACAACACAAATAGCCAGGACACCCATTAGTTTCCATTCTGTTGAGGGCAGGGGAGGGGCTCGGGGCTCCTTCTGCTATCTCCAGGGTGGGCTGATAGGCAGCCAAAGATTATTGGGTGGTGTGTCTTTCTCTAAGGGAATACATTGTAAGATAACAGATTAGACACAGGGTTAACACATGACCATGTTGTACTTTATGTGACATTACTGTAACAATTATCTTTTTAGAGAACTCTTGATGGGAGTGTAATTGAACATGTAAAAAAACATTTAGGGCTAGAGCATTTAGTTAAATTATCTATTGATTATAAAAATACATTTTAATCAGTTGTTTTACAAAACTACTTTGTTAGCGGGAGAGTTAAAAATGTGTTGTTCTTGATTTCAAATCAGTTAAACTTGACACAAAAGTAGTGGCTGCAAGGTTCTAATCACCAAATAAAAAAAAATTCTTTTGATGCAAAGTTAAGTGACAATGCAGGCCTATATTACTGTTATTAAATTAGTTAACAGCAAATGGCGAATGAAAAAAGACAACATTTTTGTTTGAATCAGATACAGCTGGATTAATCCCATCCTTATATAAACTAAAGGCATTGCATTAAAACCGAATCAAGAGTTCACTATAAAAGCATTGAAGAGGGTTAGCATGAAATGAACTGAATAGTTTCACATATAATAAAATAATATCTATGTTCCCAGCAAAATGTAGGCCTAATAAAAGCAATTGACTAATAACAGGTTTTAATTTTAAATATGGCAAAATTTTAAGTGACACATGATTTAACATTGAATATTAGGCCTACAATGTTGTACATAAAATAACTGGAACTTTGGTATATTAGTGCTGACAGTTTTGGATGAAATATTCAGTATTTTTAAAGAAATTAAAGTGCGCCAAGAAAATGGATTTTGCTAAACATAGGGATGGAGTGGACACTACAAAACATATATATGCTTGTGGAGTTACGATTTATCCAGGGCAATCCTTTATCGCTGGTTCGGACATACTAAACAGGACTGTGTTTAGTGTACAAGGGCAACTACTGTAATCTTCTGGGCTTCCTGTAACGATAACAACACTGGGGTCATTTATCAATCCATTCGTAAACCAATCAACTCAAAATATCCCATACATCTATATCGCAAGGCATTGCTTTTTTGGTGCAAAACCAATACAACACTGAAATTAATTTGAACAAACATAAAATCTGTTTTATTTTAAGTAAACTTGAAAAAGAAAATCCATAGGGTAACTCATTGCGACAAACTAAGAATACTGCTACACAAATTAATGAACTGCCTACATTTAAATTTCATTGGGAACAGAGCCATTTATGAAACAGATAAGTTATTTGTGATTGCAAAAGTGAAAAGTCAATAAACAGAGGACACGACTGCTCAAATTATTGATATATTTTGTGGTCGACTAAGCCTTAGTCAAGATACTAATTGTTTAAAGGAATGAATTTGTCTAAAACCACGCAATATAAAATTTGTATAACTTCCACTAAAGAAGCGTATAATTTCAATATGGTTTTGTGTTACGATTTCAAAATTTCACAAGTTAATTATAAAAAGTCGTGTTATATAATGAATGAGACATTTCCAACTGTTATTTAGGCTTTGATGAAAACTGAACTCTGTCCTAACTGTACCATCTCAACAATGTAGAGGTTAGCTAATCAAAAAGATGTAAGGACTCACATCTGACCGCAGTCTTGATATATTCTTCCCTCCTTTGCCAATGATAGACCCAGCGACCTACAAAGAGAGATTATTGATCAAATAACATTTGACCTAAGAGGGATAAGCTATCTTAACTACTAGGCAAGCCAAACTAAATTAATAACATTTATAACAGATATTGAAACTTAGAACAGAACAACCCTGAGATTTAAGACACATTTCAATTTGTAGTTTTCATGACTGTTCCAGGGAGGCCCCTACAGGAAAGCCCCCCATTCCCAATTGGACCTTGGAAAGAATTCTGTCCTAAAATTGTAGCAGAGGTTTTTTAGTAAAGTTCTAGATATTAAAATTTGATTTAGTAAGTAATCCTATAATGTAGTAGAGGTTTTTTTATACAGTTCTAGACATAAAAAAATTGCTTTAGAAAGTCACCAAACGACTTAAAAAATACCAAATTTCAGGGGCTACCAGAGAGCGTTCTTTGATAGAAAGGAACACCCCCCCCCCTCCTGCGGTAACTCAAATTATCAAAATCAGTTGATTTTGTTGTTCAACAATACAAATGAGAAGAGAAATAAGCATTAGCTAGCTAGTTTTGGTGTGTTTACTAAACAATGAACATAACCTTGAACTTAAAGTTATAATTTTCACGTAATTATGTAGCATTGCTAAATCAGTTTTGCTTTTATTTTTATATCAAAAGAATGTTAATTAGTAGGCCTAAATATAATATAGTTTAATAATCCTCACTGTTATTTACCTTATTATCAGTTCTGGAATTACAATTGAAATTCAAATCCGTTACATCACACTAGTCGTCGTGGAAAACTCATGCGATTGAAGCAACATTGATGGATTTCTCAAGATCATGACATCACTCATGATCATCTACCACGGTAGTGAAACTACGATTATTTTCATAGAATAAAAAAAAATGCAGGTTATGCTAATGCCCAAGGCCAGCTATGAATACATCTTAAAGTTGAATTAAATCAGCGACCACAGAGTTAAACACCACTTTTGCAATAAAAAAGTTATCTATCTAAAAAAATCAACGTAAAAGTCAAGTATTTCGTTGGGTCCCAGTGGATCCTAATATAAGTAATCTTTAAATGGAAGTACAGTATAAGTGTGCTGTAAATACTAAATCAAAGGAACCAAAATAACTTATTTTTCCAATGGATTGGAAAATAGGCTATTTTTTTTATAATATTTTTTATTTACCTTGCTTGGTATGAGGAGTCGAACTTCCACTTCGTCCCCCATACGAGAGCGCTTGAAAGGCCCTCCCATGTTGTTTTCAGAAAACCGCTTCATCCCTGCAAAACAACCAAACAGTCAGTCATCTTTAATAATTAGGCTATTCGAGGTTAGATGAAAAGTAACCAACATTTTTTATAACATATGTAAATTATTATTTTGAGTAGGGGCCTAGGTACAAAATAGTGATTTCTTAGCTTGTCTTTGCAGCATTGGAAAAATTGAAGAAAGCAGCGTATCCACTCTTACATACTATGTCTTACAAGTACCTACCAACCTAGGTAGTTCAAAGGAATAGTATATTTTCCATTAAAGGAGAATCATTATTGAAACTTGATATTTTTGGTCCCCTAAACCTGTGGCACCAGCCCACAGTACACTTTTTTAAGTGTCAGTTAAGGAGAGTCATGGTCCCCGACACCAGCGCCCCAGTATCTATACTTTGTTCACATAATTAAGGAGGTTTTTATTAAGAAATCCATCCGCTCAACCTGACCCCATCTTTAAAAAATAGCCCGACAACTGAGGTTTGCCAAAACGTCAATCAGCTGCAGCATACATAAAAAAAGTGGTGGGGGAACCTTCCCTAAAACTACCCAAATTGTATTAACGAGCTACCTATAGTGTATTATAAGTGAATGAGTCACTGCCCCGACACCACTAGTCCAGTACCAATAGAGGCGACTCATTGTATCGACACCAGCCCTGCAGTTGGCCCTATAATACTAGTGTAGTAACAGTGATGGAGAGTCGTTGTCCTGATTCCAGCCCCACAGTAGGCCCCACACTAGTGTAATACCAGTGAAGAAGAGTCATTGTTCTGACAGCAGCCCCGCATTTGGCATACACTAGTGTAGTACCAGTGAAGGAGAGTAATTGTCCTGACACCAGCCCCGCAGTTGGCCCTATACTAGTGTAGTACCAGTGATGGAGAGTCGTCTTGATTCCAGCCCCACAGTAGGCCCTACACTAGTGTAATACCAGTGAAGGAGAGTCATTGTTCCGACAGCAGCCTCGCATTTGGCATACACTAATGTAGTACCAGTGAAGGAGAGTCATTGTTCCGACAGCAGCCCCGCATTTGGCCTACACTAATGTAATACCAGTGAAGGAGAGTCATTGTTCCGACAGCAGCCTCGCATTTGGCCTACACTAATGTAATACCAGTGAAGGAGAGTCATTGTTCCGACACCAGCCCCACAGTTGGCCCTACACTAGTGTAGTACCAGTGAAGGAGAGTCATTGTCCCGACACCAGCCCCACAGTTGGCCCTACACTAGTGTAGTACCAGTGAAGGAGAGTCATTGTTCCGACAGCAGCCTCGCATTTGGCCTACACTAATGTAATACCAGTGAAGGAGAGTCATTGTTCCGACACCAGCCCCACAGTTGGCCCTACACTAGTGTAGTACCAGTGAAGGAGAGTCATTGTTCCGACAGCAGCCCCGCATTTGGCCTACACTAATGTAATACCAGTGAAGGAGAGTCATTGTTCCGACAGCAGCCTCGCATTTGGCCTACACTAATGTAGTACCAGTGAAGGAGAGTCATTGTTCCGACACCAGTCCAGCAGTTCGCCCTACACTAGTGTAATACCAGTGAAGGAGAGTCATTGTTCCGACACCAGTCCCACAGTTGGCCGTACACTATAGTTGAATAGATACAACTTCAGTATCGGCGTGGTGGGGCTATCTGACGTTCAAGTAAGAGGGAGAACTGCCAGGTTGTCTACCAGACCAATAAGAGCGAGGAGAGCCTGACGCGGTTTCCATAGCAACAGGCGCTGTTGCCATATCGCACAGCAATTCCACGCACGCACGCACATGTGCAGTTCCTCCAGTGTTATGATAGATGACAGTGACTACTTCGACTAAAACAGTATACTGTCCGCGAGAGTTCAGTCTCCTAAGCTCCAAAACAAACATTTTGATGTTGGAATAGTATATTCTATCACCAGAGCCTCAAAAGCCACTTTATGCTCGTGTGCTGAACTATATTCTTCATCATGTTGCATCATCAAACCTAGCTAGAAAATAAAATAATGATTATGTAGAGATAACCTATCAAAACTACTCCCAGCTTGTTTTCAATATAGTAATATTGTGATAGTAATATTTATACATGTTTAAAGATTTAAGGCATAGTGATATTACTGCGCAAAAAAGATAAAATTACAAAATTAAGGTTTATGTCTAAAAAACAAAAACCGTGTGTAATACATTTTAAAGTGAAACCAATTAATCTTTTTTATGATTTTTTTTTTGAATTATTTCTCAATTCCAAATATACTAAGAATTATAGTGCTTTATACATATTATTTCGCGAAATTTTGAGTTTATGCGTAACTTTTTCTTTTAAAAAGGGAAATATGTCCTTTGCCTGTTTGCTCAACTCAGCTATAGTTTTTACATAGGCAAGCAATGGACAAATCAAAACAGAACTCTGTAGGCGAAGACACGAGACTGCACCGAATCAAATGACGCGACCACCCACTCATCATAACAAAGATGATATGAGTAATGATGTTTACAACAGATGTTTACAGATATATATATACAGTATATGCAGTGGGCCAGAGGGCAGGAACTCTCAGTAGTGCCGTTGCGTTGTCTGCGTCCAGTGTTGTTGTCGTGAGTGGTTTTGGGAATTACATGGTGTAATATCGTGTTAAATCTGTTGTTACATATTACGTTGTGTTATCATATTAATTCTGATGGAAAGAAGAGGAGGCGCTAGTGTTAATAAACGAGGGCGTCCTCGCGTTCGGCCAGTGAGACCATCACCTTACACCAAAGTTGGCCAGGGATCTGCTTTACGCAGCCAGTCACGGGAACTTGTGGTTAATGTACGGAATTTTTTTCAGCGAGAAAAGGATAACAGGGCTATCTTAATACCATTAGAGAGGGTAGTAGACAGATCCGCAGCAGCGTTAGGTCTAAATAAAAATACAGTCATTGCAATATGCAAGGAGAAGGAAAAACTTATTAATGAGGTTGGTAATGCCACTACGACCTTACAGACACCTGGAAAAAGGAGAAAGAAACAGAAAACCGTCACTGCCATAGATGGTTTCCAACAGGATGCTATTCGCCGGCATATATATGATTATATTAGGAAAAAAGAGCATCCTACAATTAAAAAACTCTTGATTTCATTAACGGACGCAAATTTATTTAGAGGCAGCAGTTTTTCTCTCAAGAGTGTTTTAGTTACTTTGGGGTTTGAGTATAAAAAGTTGAATCGGAGGAGAATTTTATTGGAACGAAATGATATTGTTGCTTGGCGTTGCCGGTTTCTGCGGGAGGTGAAAGATTTGAATTTCGATAACATAGTGTGGTTAGACGAAACATGGGTGAATACCGGCCACACCCTCGCTCGAGGATGGACTGACGAGACAACTGAAGGTACGTTAGCAGCTCCTATTGGTAAAGGTAGTAGGTTGATTTTGCTGCACGCTGGAACATCTGAAGGGTTTGTTCCTAACTGTTGTTTATTGTTTTCTTCAAAGAAAACCACAGACTACCACGAAGAAATGAACCATGATACATTTTTTAAATGGTTCACAGAATCACTTCTGCCTAACCTTTCAACCCCATCGGTTATTGTTATGGACAATGCCCCATACCATTCCAAGATTTTGGATAAGGCTCCAACACAAGCCAACAAAAAAACAGAAATTCAGGAATGGCTCAGTGAGCACAACATACAGTTTGAGGAACATTTAAGAAAAGCAGAATTATTAGAACTAAGTGACAGGTATAAACCAACGACCCCCAAGTATTTAATAGATGAGATGGCCAAGGCCCAAGGACACAAGATCGTCAGGCTCCCACCTTACCATTGCCATTTCAATGCAATTGAAATGGTTTGGGCGCAAGTCAAGGGACACGTTGCTCGAAACAACAAAGCATTTAACCTAACTGAAATTAAAAGATTAACCGAAGAAGGCATTGGACAAGTGACAAGCGTAGAATGGACGAATATCGTTAGACACACAAAAAAAATAATTTTAGAAGCGTGGGCACAAGAGGGTCTCATTGAAACAGCAGTTGAAGAACTAATAATACACGTGAATAGAGATGACAGTGACAGTGAAAATAGTGACCTTGAGGATTTTTCTGATGAATACAGAGTGCAAACTGACGAAGGGACACAGGAAATATACGTCAACCAAACGTATGCTGATTACGGAGAAGATGATAGCGATGATGACTTCGATGGAATAAATCCACTGCCATCCACATCCACTAACGAAAACGTCCTAGACTTTTCACAATATTAGGTAAGCTTTATTTTGGAGCAATATGTGTGCATTTATTTCAGAAACAATTTTGTATTTAAGATTATTAAAACTTTAGGTATTATTTATTACTATTAGTTTCTTTAGTCGTGGCCAACAAAGACATTTGTCCAGCTTGATCTTATTAGTACTTAACTAACGGTTTTTAAATCTAACCAGTTTATAAAGATAATTTTTTATACTCATAGGTACTAAATTTTTAATTGAACATAATTTTCATTAATAAATTGACTGAACAAAATAAATAGGTAACCAAAATACAGTATCATAAATTTGAACTAAACGTTTTTTGAATAGAATAGAAAAATTTCCTTCCTGGTTACTATAAACTAGCGGAAACTATCAACAGAGACGAAATAAAAGCACACAGTGAAGGGAGCTTTCACACGGTGCGGCGCGCGCCGCACAGCCCAACCCCTACGCTGTCTCATTAGGCAAACTACCTGACCAAGAGGGTGCATCAGTTATTAAGAAATTATATATCGTTGTATCAGAAAATTATATATTTAAAGTTATCACAAAACATATATTTTATATGTTTTTTAATATGTTAAATATGTTTTTTTTTATTTTTTATTTGTACGTAATGAAACATTTTTTTACTTCTAGAATACAATATTTTTAAATATGACGAATTAATTAACTTAACTTATATTTTAAATTAGCCTATTAATTTTATTTGAACTTTTAAGTAGAGTATTCACTGAGGCGTGGTTAATGAGATTTACTCGGGTTGGTAAGTTGGGTTCGTAAGTCGTAATAGTAACGTTGCGTGCGTTTGCGTTGTTGAAAAGTACGCTGGCGCGCATATTCTGTGTTGAAGATAGTTGGGCAGTTCCCGCTCACTGCAGTCGTAGGCCGTCCGCGACAACGCGGCAACACCGCAACAGTAGTCTCCCCACTGCTCGCTACCCCTCCACACCAGGCCGATACGGAAGTTGTATCTATTCAAGTATAGTGTAGTACCAGTGAAGGAGAGTCATTGCCCCACAGTTGGCCCTACACTAGTGTAGTACCAGTGAAGGAGAGTCATTGTACTGACACCAGCCCTACAGTTGGCCGTACACTAGTGTAGTACCAGTGAAGGAGAGCCATTGTCCCGACACCAGCCCCACAGTTGGCCCTACACTAGTGTAGTACCAGTGAAGGAGAGTCATTGTTCCGACACCAGCCCCGCAGTTAGCCATACACTAGTGTAGTACCAGTGAAGGAGAGTCATTGTCCTGACACCAGCCCCACAGTTGGACCTACACTAGTGTAGTACCAGTGAAGGAGAGTCATTGTATCGACAGCAGCCCCGCAGTTAGCCATACGCTAGTGTAGTACCAATGAAGGAGAGATATTGTTCCGACACCAGTCCCACAGTTGGCCCTACACTAGTGTAGTGGTAGTGCCAGTGAAGGAGAGTTATTGTATGAGTGTAATTGCAGGGGCGTGTTTGGCGGCGCCGCGACGGTGACGATGGCGTGTATGGCAGTAGGAGTGGCGCCGCGCGGCCGACGTAACTCCCGCGTATTGATCGTACAGACAGGCGCTCGGTCGGTCGGCCGTCGCTACACAACACTACTCGCCATGCATTTACAGGCCTACTCTACTCCGTGTGGTGCAATGGTGCAATTCGCGACATTCTCGTAGAATGATAATAATCGGGCTTTAATTATAAAGAACTATAGGAAATGCAAAACAAGCAGCAATACAATGTTTATCAACCGTGAACATCGCTAGATTTGTTTTAACAAAATCGCATTCACTTAATTCTTACAACATATCAACTGGAGTATACCAAAATTATGAGTGAGAAAATAAACAGATACGGCTCAAACTATATGCAAGCCTATTTTTAGATCATGTTGCCAAATTTTACTCAAAAACCCATCAACAAAAGAGTATTCAGGGTACCAATACCAAACCCTTTTCACTAATTTACATTAATTAAATCTTAATGTTGTAAAGGCTGAAATAACGAAATAAAATGCCGTATTAAGAAAATAACATTCCCATATTAGCCTATTTGAAAGAGAAAAAAAAACAGGTTGGTTTCAGATACGTACGTTCTACTGGTTGGTAAAAACGCCCGAGTGGATTCCATTAATTAATGTAACATGTGTTTTCGTGAGAATTACACAACTGCCATACTGGCAGGCTGCCACGATAAAATAATAGCTGATAAAATTTTCATTCTGTTAGTTAGCTATAATATATAAAAAGAAGGTTCATGTAGCGAAAAGAAACTATTTATGACTACGCGTACAGTATCTACTATTTCCATTGCATATTTAAAGTAACCACTTCTTCATAACTAATCGTCGCCAGCATCGACGTATTTTTATGTCTTTTTGCAGGTTAGACACGATTCATGCCGATTTATACAGTAAACTGAAAGGTTAAGCTCGGCTCTCAGAAGGCCACCGGTTCGACCCAGAGAAAAATGAATAGCTTTTTGGCGGATCGAAACTGGACTCTGCTTTCCTCGACCCATAACGCGAAATTGTCCTGACTAAGATGATCGCAGTGCTACACAATGCATCTTATTACACCCTACATACATCCTTCAAAACCTACACTTCCTACACTTGGTTTCAAAACAGGCTCACAAGCGTCACCATGTTAATTAATAGAGTAATACCATGTGATTAGGCCTGCTGTTTCAAAATGAATTCACGAAATTGTTTAAACTTCATGGTATTTTTAACTAAAATTTTACTTGTTGACATCTTCTGAAATGCCAAAACGTTAATGTTTTCGTCAACAGCATTCAAGTCACTTAATGGTGTCGTAAGCATTGCGTTTATCTCCAACTAAGAATTATTACAATGACGACCTTCTACACCATTCTAGGTATGATTAGTTAGCAATGAAAATAATTTACTAAGGGCCAAATGAAAAATTACCAATCAAAATTCCCTATTGTCGACACAACCCTTTCCATAATTGTCGATTAAAACTTTCAATCATTAGTGCGCGTGAATCGCAAAATAATTGCAGATTAGACCGTTAACGAGACTTCTTGTATTGAATTCATAACGAAGAAGTCAACGGCAAACTCTTTTTACGAAGGGGATGTAAATGCAGTCGAGGGCAATGTGCTCTGGTAATCGCGTCCCTCGTTAAACTTTATGTTACTACCGCTTTTAACGACAAATTAGGCACGAATTATTTCCATATTTAACATTCGGGGGATTTAAAATGAGCACTCTATTACTTTTCTTTTCGTCAATGCTAGAAGATAGCATAAAAGATCCTTCCTTCACAAACTTTGTAAAATCCCAGTAAAACATTGGCGTTCAAAATGGACGAATTCAAGTAGGCTAAGGTTTATTTTTAGTACTGTTATAAGTTCAGTAGAATCTATTCAGGACCAACTTCGTAAACCACATAGTGAAATATTGTCGTAGATATGGGTAGAATCCACTTGACTGAGTTTTAAATTTTATTAAATTATTGGAATTTTCCGTAGAATAAAGTTACCTACTGAAAACTCATTACCTTCCAACCTTCCTAAAACCCTAGTGAAAGATTGTCTTAGATAACGGATGAATCACATAGTCTACATCTAAACGCAGCCCTCCTCAGTTTTATAATGGTGGGTTTAGTGGGAAAAACCAAATTTTTCTGTACATTCCAACACAGAGAACGGGCACTGCGAGAGGATGGTGCATATTTAGACGATGAATCATGGACTAACTTTAACCAGCGATTCGACCTTCGCTAAGTGTCACGTTATAAATAGGAAAACTTTCAACAGGTATCTCAATTCAAACATCTCCACGAACCGCTTAGTCAACCCAATACCAACTATGCTTAAATATTTACTGTACATTCAATGTCCAATTAAATTTATTAACGGCACAACATTATGATTTATTTATTCTTAACATTTTAGTGTAAAAATAACAATTCGTATTTACGTCAGAAAATATACCGTAGAACACGTGGCAATCAACTGCACACTAAATCCAATTTTAGATGTACAGTATTGATTTTTGAAGTTCACAATCATAACAACCAAAAAACCAGGGAACCAACACACATTCATTCTTTATTCCAGCAAGATAATTATGCAAGGTTTTCCAGTTACATATCTGCTACATCACTAACAGTACCATAGAATTAAAGTATACATTCCATAACAACCCCCAATAGTGGTTACGTATGCGAATTGGTCACACATTTCTAATATTAACTACACCTATCTAGGTATTGTCAACACAAAAAATCACAAACTCTCTTTTCAAATAGCCAACAAAGAATATCCCCTATTATGCCATGCTGATCGACAGGACAGGTCACTGCGTTTTGGGATTTTGACTGACACGACTCCCCACCCCCCGCAAAGATTGCAGTGGGGGTGACTCACATAGCGTGAGGCCGGCCGGCGCCCTCCCTCCTCCCCTCCCACCACCTCTCAGCCCCTAAGTAATTAAATTATCTAACAGTCGGACGCTGCGGGCAACGTCGAGAGTCCTGCATATTTGCCAAGATCTGTGATACAGCAAACAGCCGAGTACCTAGTCGCTACGAACACAGTACTGTATAACCTTAGACTTTTGAAACAAATTGCCGCTTACCCATGTTTTAAATCTGTGGTCCGTTTTAGATAGAAAATGAATAATAATAATGATAATAAAAATGAAAGTAGTGAGACAGAATGCTTGATGTGACTGGCAGATTTCTGTCGAATACGATAACTTGTAACCAAAGCAAACCGAGAGGACACCAAATAACTATATCTTTTAATATTAATCTAATAAATCAATCGAGTCGTTTAGCTAATTTTTTTGTAGATTTTTCCGTCATTACTCATTTAATACGTTTTTTTGTGGGTTTTCATAAAGGAAATGACAAAAGTAGCAATAACTAGGCCTACTTAATTTTAATAACAACCGTAATTTTTACAGTAATGGGAGTTGTAAAGTTAAAAAGACTGTCAATAACATACTCAATTTTAATCTGATTTTCAAAATAGCTACGTGATTGGTATAGAATTTACGATTTTTTCCAACATCGACATAAACAACACAAATTATTTTCATGGTGTAATTGTAAATATTTCCTTCCGTGCAGCATGTAAATAAATTGTCATTTACTGTAGTAGCCTTAGGAGTAGGATATTTCAAGTAGCCTACGAGATAATTCGTTTCGCAGAAAAAATACACCACCGAGTCTTAAAAATACCTTACTATATTGTGACAAAAATAAAGTAGAATAATAAATATTTAACTTACTCACCCACTATTTTGATGGATTCTTACAGCAGAGTGTGCGAAAATGAAATTCTGGAACAGAAAATAGGAAATATAAGAATGACTAACAATAAGTAGGCCCAAATAATGTTTATTGAATAAATGAAAATTTCATGAATTGGTGGCTCAGTCGGTAGCGTCTGGATACGCTACAATCTGGAATATTCGGTGACATGGGCATGGGCTCGGTCCAGTAGGTTAGGTTGACAAAAGAGCGAAATACTGTAGTGTGGAGTGTGGAGAAGACAAAAGCCCCAACAGTCAGTACAGCGGCCGCACGCCGCACGCGACACACCAATACTTCCGGCCAGCTGCCACACCACACCACACACCTTGTGTTGGTGGCACGAGCATCGTCAGTGAGGAAATTAAAAACACAACCCTTTCTAAAACATAATTCTGCAAAACCGTCGTTTCTATAGGGTCAAAGCTTTACACTAGACAACTTTAATATTTAATAGGATGTACCGAAAGTACGTTGCCGGTTGTAGTCCATAGTTGCTTTTTTTCAATTTGGAATTTTTCTACCTAGACAAGCTAGCAATAATTAAGTTTATTGAAACTGTAAAAAACTAAATTGTATGACTACCACAAGGGGAAAATAAGCTGACGATAGTCACGGCGAGTATAATTCAGATACGGCACTGTAAGGCGACTAGTGTTTTGTCTTCTGGTATATATTATTGTTTTGTTTGATAGTTTTTAAGAAATACAACAACGTAATAGTTCATCTTGAGCTCGGGTCAAAAACAGTCACCATTTATGCCCTAGTGACAAGTTACGCTATTTAAATTCAGTGTGAAAACATGTACATCACAATATGACGATTTTATTCAAGTGTTTGAATTTTAGATAATTATTTGCGTTCGTGCTCGGTCAATTAAACAAGCTACGTTTCTTAGTATCGGTAACACCACACGCTATCCTAGAGAATGGAAGCGCATTAAATTAACTTTACTAATAATCGACGTAGAGAATCACATGACTAATCGTCACACACAAGTGTTCCCTGCGATTATCATAGAGTTCGAGCCATCGATGTATAATAACTCCCGTATAACTCTACATCGATGCTTCGAGTACATTGCCATTGACATTGCCAGTCAGTGTAGTTAAGTCAGTTTAGTCATCCCTTTGACATCTAAAATATTTTGGGACAAGAATACAAAAAAACCGGAACTATTGCTATTCCAACAACCCTCAACCACGGAACTAACTTTCCTACGAAAACCACAAGGAAGTTCAGCTACCACATACCGGTACACACTATTTTTTCACCATTTATAACATTACAAATTATGTTGCCACGTAAGGTAACATGTTGTAGGAAACAAAATCACAACCGACCTTTATTTGGGCAAAACCTGAAGTTAAATTGTCTGTTGTGAGTTTGAGGGTCGTAAGGGCAGTGTCATGGAGCCTAGCAAAAAGGGGCTTCTAAAGTACCGAGGATAAAAATGACTCAAATAAACACTCTGAAAGCCCTTATAATCATTCTAATATTCTTCATAAATAAGTGTTAAACCAATGAACTAATCATATTTCAACGTACTAAGCCCACGTAACAGATTTTCTAGAAGCCAGAATCGCGAAATCTGAGCTTTGTAAGGAACAAAACTGGCTGTCGTGACAGTTTGGGGACATATTACTTAAGGGCACTGGCATCTAGCGGGTCATCTCGCAAAGTGGACTGTAAATGAAAGATGAGATTGATATATCAGCTCGGAGATCCGTCTTGTTTCTCCTCCAGCTCAGTCCGACGAGAAATTACATTACGTTGTCCCTCTATCACTGACCGATAGCCACACGCTTTTTGTACTTCTTGTCTTATATGTGTTTGTAAAAACATATTCTGATACTTATAAATTGTTGTAATTATTATTTTATAGTAAATAGCCTACTTTTACTACAACACTGAATGTGAGAATTAATGTGTTGAAAAAATTATTAATTGAGCAAACTCTACGGATACAGTGACAAATTTGTAATTTAGAAAGTTGAAATTTTAATTGGTTGCGGTGTCAATTAAATTTTACACGTGACGTGTGCAAATTCGTTGTCATATTCTACGTGTATAGCATACGTGGAAGCTAAAGCACGTATTTGAAATATCAAATAGCATTTGATATTTCGTTGTAATACATTTCTTTCTGAAGTAACTCTCCGAATCACGCACCGAATTTATAGGATACATTGTTTGAAATAACAGTATTTTAAATTTTACCAGCTACGACATTTCGAGACGAAAATCAATAGTTTAGGAAACGTGTGTGGTCGCTGGAACGATAGACCAGTTCAGATAAATAAACGTGACACGTGAAGATAATCTAAATTACAGATAACGAAATGTTTGCAACGAGCCTCCAATAGAATTGCTAACCTAAGCCTAGCCTGTTGCTCGAAATCGATATGTTTTTCAAATTCAATTCTACGTCATTGTATCATCCTGGATGGTCGTGGATAGGTATATTTATGGGTCTCACATTTATTTCTATAATCAGCTGATTTCTATAATCAGCTGTTTTCTATACGATTCTAATTGTATAACTATGGAGGATTACTTGTGCACGTAGGGGAGTAAGCTAAGTCTAGTGATAGAACGCGGGGCTTTAGTCGCTTAGGTACAGGGTTCTAACACAGAAAAAACACCAGGCTTTTTGGCTATTTACTATGATGATACTGCGACCCTCTACTACGTCAAAATAATGTGCAAAACGCTTGAAGGAAAGAGCGTAGCGTCCTAAAAAATGTAGGGGGGAAACTGTGCACGCAGAGCTTACACGTTTTGTTAGTAGGCCTATTAAGAATCTTGGACGCCGAGTTTTACAACAAGCAGACAGATCCTCTTAGCACAAGTACATACAGTACTTTCATAGTGCTAGAGTCGTAGTGGTAGAACGCGGTGCTTCGGTCACCGACAGTTACGCTCCTTTCACACTATACGATTTCGCTCGTACGAGTGTTAATCGTACGGGCAGATGATCGTGGGTCTGTTGCTTTCACACTATACGATTTGTAATCGTACGATAAAAAAAAATCTTAACCCCCACTCCACTAGAACAGTTTATTGTCATTTCAGTGGAATGTTTTAAGTAGTATGGATCACGAGGAAATTATTGCTACTTTAATAATTTATCGGAGAAAAATAAATTTAATAAGAGTCGTATTTAAATTTGAGACGTGAGGAAGTGGGGATGTTTAAAACATTATTTCAAGACCTGAGAAATGACGAAGAAAAGTTTTTCAACTATTTTCGGATTTCAAGAGAATCGTTTAAAGCTTCAAGATCAATCACATTCATAATTTTAACTATATAGACAAAACTGTAATTAATAACAAAAACTAAATAATAAAATACAGTTTGCACAGGTAGTTCAACTCAATAATTAAACAATTAAACATATGTAAACGCAAAATATCTGAAAACTATACGCAACAAACTGCACTTGGGGAGGGCTCCCGCACGACTACAATCGTGTAGTGTGAAAGGGGCCATATGGTCACATGGCCACTAGCAGTAGACACGATTTTTACTCGTGCGAGAGTCGGATACCAACCGTGTGCACCTACGGTCGCTACACGGGTGATAATCGTACACGGTTGGTAATCGTATAATGTGAAAGGGGCCATAAGCTCCAATGCGATACAACAAATACGATTAACACTCGTACGAGCGAAAACGTATAGTGTGAAAGGAGCGTAGGCTCAAATACCGACTATCACCAATTACCTTTAATTAGTTATATGATAATGATGCAACCCTCTGGACTTGGCGTAAAGTAATGTGCAAAACTCTTCCGTTAAAGAGCTTAGCGTCCAAAAAACATGAAGGAAAAATATAAATTGTATTGTACACATTTTGAAACTTAACGCAGAGATCTACTCGCCGTTAGGAAATTCCTCAAAACTCCTTTACCCTTCCAAGTGTCAATGTCAGAGCTTAGCGTCCAAAAAACATGAAGGAAAAATATAAATTGTACTGTACACATTTGGAAACTTAACGCAGAGATCTACTCGTCATTAGGAAATTCCTCAAAACTCCTTTACCCTTCTAAGTGCCAATGTCACAGTGCTACGGTCAGTATGTTGGAACCTGTCTCCCGTCCCTCCGTATAAGGTTCAAGCCAGTCCCAGGTAGACAGAGTGTCAGGAGACAATAATGTCCCATCATACAGACTATAATGTGCAAAACTGTTAGCCTACCGTCCTAGAACTTGAAGGAAAACACAAATTGTACCCGTTTTGTCTGTGTTTTCTACCCGTAGTTAAGTGCCAGTATCACAGTGCTAGAGTTAGTGCGGTGGTGCTACATGTATACAAGTGTGAAGATTGTGAAGATTCCTACTGACGGTGACTCACCACGAAGCATGGTCCTCTCTCTACAGTCAACAGTCCACTGTCCAAGTCAAGTTGTGGTCGCCGACTGTGCCACACGACGTGTTATACTCGCATCGCCATTGGTCTCCAGTGTTTGTCCGTCTCCATGGCAACGTAACAAACAAACCGACCACAGCCGCCGAGCCGACACCGCCGCACACTCCCACAGCCTATTAAATATTCACACTACTTTTCTGTCCCCTGTCATATTGTTCAAAACTCCTCCCAAACTGTCTTTTTTGTCTTAATGGGTTACGACACGTATTTGCGTCTTTAAGTAAAAATCAATCGCGGTTTTTAGCACAACATTAGCAGGGGAAAATCGATGGGCATAAACATAAATGATCGCATAAAAGTTGTACACGCACAGGGCAACGTTACCGGTATTTGATTGGGTAGTTATCACATTTCCCTACTAGATGTACGGTTTAGAAACGTAAAAAAAAAAAAAAACAACAGCTACCGGTACTGAAAATAGAAAAATATTTTCTCTATTGTACATTTTCAATATTTTGGGCCTGTTGTAATTTTTTAACCATTGCGAACATCAGTAATTTAACGACGATTCAGGATCTAGAATTTAATCCCGTATTCAGATTAGAAAATTGAACCTAGAAAATAAAATCGGACAAAAGTTTGAGACAATACATGGACGA